GGGAATGGAGCCCGTGCTTCTGCATCTCTTTTAGACCCATTATCGTAGATGGGGCTCCACTCCCTCCAGCATAGCCACAGTTAGATGTGTGTAGACGCAGAACTGCAGGCTGTGGAAGGTCGGTAGTTCAGCAGTTCGAGACCCGAGTGTGCCGCATGACGGAGTGAGCTCCCGTCTCTAGTTCCAGCTCCTGCCAACCTAGCAGTTCAAAAGCAAGAAATTGCAAGTAGATAAATAGGGACCACTTCGGTGGGAAGGTAACAGCATTCCGTGCGCCTTGGTGTTTAGTCATGCTGGCCACATGACCACGGAAACGTCTTCGGACAGCGCTGGCTCTTCGGCTTTGAAACGGAGATGAGCACCGCAACCCTAGAGTCGGATTTGACTGGCTTTCGAGCAAGGGAACCTTTACTTTATGTGTGTGGGATGCCTGAGAGTCCCAATTTTCTTTTTAAAAACTGCATGTTTCTGGTCCCTAAGACTGCAGATGAGGTTTCATATGTATCTGCAGTGCCTGCTGAAATCTCAGATGCAAGCCAGAGATATGGCTGAACTGAACAAGATTTGTGGTAGTTAAGTTGGGGATTCATGGAGGTGTCACTCCCCCCTCCCCTGGTGACCAAGAGAACACAAGTAGAGTATGCAGCATAAGAGGAATTCTGCAGATCTTCACTGTTTGCTTTTAAAGGAGGGGAAATGGATGCACTACATTGCAAGTTGCTTCAAGCCCTATTTGAAGAGGAAGGACATATATCTATAAAACCTCTCCTCATTCCTGTGTGTTTTTTATTGTTAGCCACATTTCCAATGGCTGCTTTGCATCAGTGTGCAACGTTGTCATTTGGCTAAGGAAGACTACTGTCCATTTCAGCCAGTTTTACTACAATCCTTTCAAGCACTAAGGAGTGAGCCAGGTCCCAAGACAAGCTGGGTGGGGTGTTTATCTGCTTTCTAAGTTTTGCCCAGAACTTTTAGATTGCTTATTTGGTTAATAAGTGCTGTATAGTTTGCCTACCTTGGCCTTAGAGGTTTGTTGCAAAGACAGAATGGTACAGCACATGGTGTTGTTTTTTTTTTTTAAGAAGGACAGGATTTAAAGATGAAATCTAAATCTATTCATCCTTAATACTTATGTGGCACTCTGAAAGTTCAAATGGCCTCATATATGTCATCTGAACTCAGCTATCCCTACAACAACCCTATAAGGCAGGTCATTATAACTACCCAAATTACAGATGGGGGGTGGTTAAGGCTGCAGGAATAATGGTTTGTTTAAGGCCATCTCATGAGCTTGTGACTGAGGTGGGATTCGAACTAAGGACTTCCTGGATTTCAGATCTGCCCCTCTATGCTACATTGACCCCAAATCTAGTTCATTTAGGGAGACCTAACCCACTAGACGCAGAGACGGCCATCGAGGACAGCAGACTTGCAGAGTGCTCCAGGTGGTTAATGGAGAAATCCCAAGGGGGAGAACACAGGATGTCTCCAGTTCAGCCCCCCTGGGATGTAGGCACACTTGAGGTGTTGTGCCCTCCCTCCCCCCCATCCTGGGAGTATTCTCAGTTGCTCTATGTAAAGGACTGTGGCAGGGACCATTCACTTACAGGAAAATGCAATTAAGAAGATGTTTGAGGAAGAGACCCAGTTCTTCCTGATTGTCCTAAAGGTCTGGAGTGGGTGCTCCCTGCTCCACCCTACCTGATTTCCCTTCCTTCCTCATTCAGTTATATGGAACAAACAGAAGGAATTTCAGGGGGGAAAAATCCCTTTGAGGTAGAAATGCAACCCCCATCCTCTCTACAAGATAAAGGGGGAGGGGAGAAGGGCAGCTACGGAGATCAAGTCCGACCCTTTGCTGCAAAGGAAGCCCGCTTATCCAGTGGGGTAGCAGTTGGAATTTCAGACTAGGATCTGGGCAAGGCAGGTACAAATCCCCACTGTGCCTTCAAGCTCCCTGGGTGACCTTCAGCCTAACGTACCTCGGATTTTTGTGAGGGCTACATGGAGGATGGAGGACCGATGTGTGGTCCTGGGGGATCCTTGGAGGAGGGCAGGATAAAAATGTATTCATTATCCCCCCGAGTCCCCAAAAAGTTGGGAAATCTAGAGTTCATCCCGCAAGTGGAGGACAGACCCATGCATTGGGCTGTAGCTCAGCGGAAGAACCTCTGCTTGGCATGCAGAAGGTCCCAGGTTGAATCCCACCATTGACCATTAACAGGATCAGGCAGTAGGTGATGCAAAAGACCTCTGCCTGGGACCCTGAACAGCTGCTGCAAGTCAGAGTAGACAATACTGACCTTGATGGACCAATGGTCTGATTCAGTATCAGGCAGCTTCATGTCTGTTCATGCAGAAAAGTGCTCAGCTCTCAACGAGGTCCAGAGGAACTTAAGCCACGTGGTCCAGGGATGGGGGGATTTAGGGGAGAAATGAGAAGCGTTTGGCTCATCTTTGGAAGCCCCAAAGGTTACCCAGCAGTTTTATTTTGCTTCAGAGTGACATTTTTTCCTCCCTTTTTCTGCTGCTGCACGGGCTCATTTGCATGTGTATTGCGCCTACCGCCACGGGTGCCGGGGTCAATTGAAACTCGAGAAAAAGAGCAGAAATTTTATGCAAAACTGTTGATTGCATTTGTATGTAATGAAATCATCCAATATTCATCCGACTATGGGCCCTAATCTGAAAGGAGAACTGGAGGACGAGAGAGTCACTGCAAAGCCGTAATGAGCTTCTGTAGTGATTAAAAAAAAAGCACTTCAGCCTCCTGACAATCCAGCCCAAAAGCGCGTCTAATCAACACTGAATATGGGAGGCAGGCGATTACGCCAAGGCGGGCTCTTCCCCATCCTCTCCCCCTTTCGCAAGGCACACTGTCAAAGATGTGTGCGCCTTGTAAACTCTGACACGCCAGCCCTGGACGATCTGTTTGATACAAATCCAGAAAGCTCCCAATCAGAGAAGAGACTCTACCATCCTTTGCACAAAAGCAATCGCGCTGTCTCTCCCATCCCCCCCCAAGCTCACAAGGAGAGCAATCACCTCTCTTTTGAAGTGCAGTCTTGGGTTTTTAACTCTGTGGAGGGGCCCTGTGTAACTCAAAGCACCTCCTCCTCCTCCTGTTTTCCATTTCATCTCTGCTGGGACTGCGGTTGTCAGCCTGAAGGTATGGCTAACTCCCCAAAGCTGAGGGTGGGCATGAGTTTGAATCAACAGAGCTGGCCGGCACTTGCATCAGCCTTGCTTGGTTATCCACTGCAGGATGGATGCGACGCTCAGTGACTGGCAGTGGAAAGTCATCCTTGCCCAGCTTTAAAGCCCACTGGTTGGCATTGGACCAGACGACCTCTCTCATAGGGTAGTTCTGAGGATGGAAATCTGAAACGTGTTTTCCTGCGACTCCATCAGAGAGTCCCATTCACACAAACCTTGCCAGTTTGAGCTGCATGCACTACACAGGCAGCATGTGTCTGTGCATATGAGACTTTGGGGAACAGAATAACTCTTGGAAAACCAAGCATGCCCCACAGATCTTGCACCCATGGCCCCATGCACATTGGTACTCCTGCCTTTGGGGTGCAGGGAGAGGGCACAAATATTTTCAAGACAACCTCCTCCGTGCCTGCTGGTCTCAGTGGCTCAGGGTCCTTTGTACTTTCCAAATAAACAAAGCAGTGAGTTTAACTTTTGCCGGTTCGCAGAAGTTGGGAAGAAAGGAGGCAGAAATGAAAGATTTCCTCTCTCTTTTGGACCCCACATGTCAACAATTCCTTTGCTTTGTGTATTCTGGCCAGAAGCGCCTCTTGATAAATGAATAGAGGGAAAATGAACGCCTGCAGTCCTCACCCAGTTCTGCAAATTGCTTTCAGCTCAGAACTTTTAACTAGTTGTACATTTATCAAACAAAATCTCCCCCTCCACCCATATCCCAGCTGCAAAAGAAGGGGGGGGGGAATATACTTCTCCCACCACAATCTAGTGGAGTCATAGGCGATGCCTCGCTACTGGCCTAGTTTGCTGTTTAGGACTTGCGTGTGTCCCTCCTCTTCAGAAATGTCCTGCGAGCTCTGCCACAGCAAGATGGGCAAAACTTCCCAGCATTCTGTAGCAGTAAGGAGGCACTAGGCAGTGTGACTGCTAAAAGTTCCTTTCCAAAAGAGGAGCAGCTGTCCCCAGGCTCAGACACAAAACTAATAAGGATGTAGCCCCACAAAATCCCATCTCAAGCAGGGTTGCCAACCTCCAGGTTGTCGCTGGAGGTCTCCCCAAATCATAACTGACCTCCAGCTGACAGGGATCAGGCCTCCTGGAAGAAAATGGCTGCTTTAGAAGTTGGTCTCTATGGCCTTGTCCCCTCCCTCCCCAGGCTCCATCCCCAAAATCTCCAGGGATTTCCCAACCCTGAGCTGGCAACTCTGCCCATCTGAATATCACTGTTTGCCTTTGTCCTATTACCACTTCTGCAAGGCATGCAGATGATCTGGGGTGGGGTTGGGGTGGGGAACTACAATGTGAGATTTGCAGTTTGTAGGGAACTAACATGCCATCCTCTAACTATTCCCTGCAAAGGTTTCCACCACCCCATTCCCAGGCACCACATTTCCTCATGTGTACACACACAAGCATGAGCATGGCTGCATATGCTCAGCGCTACAAAAAAATTATGGAAACAGAGAGAATTTGGATACTGGGGATCAATGTTCCCTCTAAGCTGTGGAGTCTTGTGAGCAAAAATTCTACTTTGTGAGCTGCTGGCATTAAAGTTGTGATTGAACGCTTTGGCTGCTGCAGGAATTAGTTTGGTCTAGAGCCAGCCTTCCTGAGCTAAGACAAAAGTGTGTGAGCTGGAGGCTAAAAAACGGTGAGCTAGCTCACACTAACTCAGCTTAGCGGGAACACTGCTGGGGATGGGCCTGGTGTTATACAGGGCACTCAGCCAATGGAAGTCTGCTTCCACCACCTCTGGCTCCAAAGAATCCACTGAGTACTGACCAGACACTTTCCTGCATAACTGTATACCAATAAGGACTAGCAACTGCTCTTTAAAATGGAAGTCGAGAGTCACAGGAAGGTTACTTCTGCACCCAGTACTATGCTTTGCCCTTCTGTTAATTCACGGCTTATTCATATTCCCTCGCACCTTATTTCTAATGAAGAATGGCATCAGGGCCTGATGGACCACAGGATCATAGGAGGCATGGGCAGCCAAGAGAAAACGTTTGCTAGTACGTTCACAAGACAAGCGATGACCCAAGTTCAGTGGGGTCACACTGACTCCTCCACGCTTGAACTCGTTTCTCTGGGTGTGACATTTCCCAAAAGATCCAGGGCAGTCACTGGGGCATCCTGAGGCTTCAAAGCCCCCGTAAGACTTTATTCCGCATACGACATCCTTGACAGGTTCATATAGCAGCCAGTGAACTTTGCTGCCTCCTTCCCCTAGCACGGGCTCCAGGAGGAGTTGCAAGCAAGGCGGAGAGGAGCTGGCAGAGACTCCAGAAGGGGCCAACAGCTGAGGCAGCCTCACTGTCGCTACGAGCACTGTTAAGTCTGAGCCTCCACTAGGCAAGACTAAATATTCCCCCCATCCAATATCTGGTTTCTGCGTAGCTGCACTTCACCATAACTCCACTGGTGGTGTGGTGGAAAAGGTCCTTTTCACCAGGACATAGCAGCTCCTGGGACTGCAGGCGGTGGCCAAGATTAGTGTTCGGTTCTGAACAGGATATAAGCCACCTTTGAGAGTCACTGTCTGATGCCAAAGCTGGGAGGGGAGGACAGAAGCTCCCCCAATGTCAAGCCTTGATCCCTGGGGTTTCACTCGGTTCGGATGGAAGGGCAAGTCAGCTGCTTGGGGCTCAAAAACACGCTTGAGTGGCTGCGACAGTCCAGCAGCGGAGGAGGAAGTCTGTGGCTCTTCCTGGCTCCCAATCACCCACCCTCATGGCATGGGCTACCCGAGCAGCTCCTTGGTCTTTGCCGCCAGCAGCTTGTCCATCTCAGCTGATGTGTCGTCCGTCATTTGCTGGATCTGTAGTGTTACGATTGAAGCAGATAGGAATAATGGCATGACTGCTTTCCTTTTGAAAGGGGGGGGGGCGGGTATCGATACATTTGAAAGCGAGCACACCATCGCCAGATCTCAAGAGCAATTGAATGTGGCAGCCAGGTTTATATTTTTGTTTTTGCCACTTTTAATCCCCCACCCACCCACCCACCAACCAGCCAGTCTATTACCAGATGTTTATGGGGCCATGTCAATGACTGCTGAGGGGAGCTACAGGCATTCTCTCACTGTTAAGTGTAGTGAACTGGCAGGGTAATTGCTTACTCCTCCCGGTTCTCGCCGCAGTTAAGAAGTGGCGCAGCGTAACAGCCAAGAAAGTGAGCCATAAAGCTCCTGAGAGCAGCTTGCTTCAGCCAACAAGTGAGGCGGTGGCTTCAGGCAAGTGCCAGTCTCCCTCCCCTTGCGATACAGAGACAACACTGACTTACAGTACAGGGTCGTGGTAAGAGTGACTTGGCCAATTTACGATAACAGCTTTGAACCCCTGAAGTAAATGCTACGTGGAAGGTCTATTTACCCAGAAGTGTCTCTCAGTAATTCAAATGCAGCTTGGGAAACTATTCAAAGGTTTTGAAAGGACATATGGTATAGTCCTCTCCTCCAGGGGACTATATCATCTCAGAATACCTGCCCAAAGAAACCACTTGCTTTGACTACACATCGTTCTTCCTGATGCACTATCTTCCCATAGGTGGCGGAAAGGATATCAGTGTGGCAACCTGCCCAATGCATTCTGTGGTCCTTACAGCCCCAAAGGTCTGTGTAGTATTATAACCACACAAGCTGTATTAGGACTTTTGTTCATGTGTGTTTTGGTACTAGTTTTTGGTGCAGTTGCCTGTGGATGCCATGCTGGTTGTGTAGCTTGAGGGCCGTGGGTGACAATCCCAGCAGTAAATGGACTGGTACCTGTTTCTCGATCAACCTGATGGTGTCCTCTGACACGGTGCTTTTGGCCTTCTTGGTCTGGTTGACTGCCTTGACACGGACTCTCCGCAGGGACTCCTTGGCCTTGTTTGTGAGCTGTTTGGCAAGTGTGGCCAACTTCTCCCTGTGTTCCCGGGTGACTCTGATAAGCAAGAGGCAAAAGGAACAAGGCATCAGCGGGTACCCAATGTATGCATTTCGGCTACCATAAGCCACCCTGAGAGGTGGGACAGGCTTTTTTAAAATGCATGTTTGGATGGAAAAATCTGAATGGCATCAAAGCCAAGTGGCAAAGGGTAAAGGCCAAGTCAAGGGTGCCCAAGACAGCAGCTTTCTGGGAAACAAGCAGGCCAGCAGCTGAAAAGCAAGCTGGTTGCCTTGACTGCTGGTGAGCAAGTCCAGAGGGGAGGACGCAGTGGGTTGTTGAAGCCACCATCGAGGACTCTTAGGTAGATGTGAAGGCCTGGGAAAATTTGTAAAACAGATTGTGTCCCCACACCAAGTTTCCACAAAGGACTTTTCACAATTTTTCCAAGGGGGGGGGGACTGGAAATTGGAGAAAGCTGTAAAAACAAATTCCTATGAAATATTTACTCTATTGAAATGAGTGAAATGCTTTTACAAACCAGGTTTTACTCAAAATATCTAGTATGAAGATTTTCATGCAAGACAACTGACAGCCCTACATAACTCCTATGTATACTTGTAGACATATATGACATAGGTTTAAAATGTGACCAATTTGGTCTACAATATGGTATTTGTATGATCACACACTAATGAAGAGTTATTAGCCACAAGGTATAGATAGGGGCTCTGGGGCAAGTGATGCTGTCTTCTTGGTGCTTGGGAGGGTCAACAGTGGGAGGGCTTCTAGTGCCCTTGGCCCCACTGCTGGACCTCCTGGTGGCACCTGGTATTTTTGGCCACTGTGTGACAGAGTGTTGGACTGGATGGGCCTTTGGCCCGATCCAACATTGGCATCTCTTATGTTCTTATGTTAAGAGTTCAATATTTTCCAAGGTTATAAAGTTCAATTTGATATCTAAATATCCTGCTGGTCTTACTGTGCCCATATGAGGCTGTTTCTGTCCAAATATCACTTTCTTTTTATTACAAAAATTGCATTTTCTGTTTTCAGCCTTTTTCTACCTCTCAGATGGCAAAAGTACATACATGTTCTAAGGTAGCACAAGGCACAGTAGTTTGCAGCCCTTTCTCTCTCCAGTATCAAGCATATTCACAACTTTGTTTGCAGAAAATGAGTCTATATACAGTACAGAGTTAAAAGGGTGTATCTTTATTTAGGATGGCATTGCTGCATTTCCCTAAATTCCATAAATATGCCAAATAGTACACTTGTATATGCTAAATTATCAATCATGCATTTTATGCTGTTAAAGCAGTAAAATAATTTTAGGCTTGATAAGCAATATTTTCATATGTTATTGTTTCTTTAAAAACACCAGAAAACACCCACCCACCATCAGTTTCTTAAAGACTTTTACGTCTCTACTCTTAAGATAACTGAATAACCTCTGATAAGGATTGATAGCATCCCTTCAGCCCCTGTTGACCCCTATATTTGGGGACATGGTCCCACACAAGGATCTCCAAGGGAAAACGAGTCTGCTAATGCCAATGGCTGGATGAGGCTGGCAGCATGAGCTGAAGCTCAGTTTCCAATGACTAGAAACAGCTCCAGAGAGAACTAGCCAGGCTCCAGCTCTGTTGTCACAAAAGACAATGCAAGAGAAACATTATGGCAGTCTTCCTTTCCCATTCCGGGGGTTTCTCTTCCCCTGTAATTCAAATCGGAGGATGACCTGGGAACTCACTAACAATCAAGCTGCCATGCAGCCACCCGAAATCCTCAGCAATTAGGAGGATAATAGCTGTCTCCTTCAGAAGGAGGTGGGAGAAGAAAAGGGAGAGAGGGGCAGGGAACAGAGAAAGGAAGAGTGCGGGAGGAAGTCTTTGAGCTGCAGCTAACTAGAATGGGACTGGTGTAATTGGGGGAGAAAAGCCACTGTTAAACACTTCTGAGCAAAATGCATGAGAATCATGAAAGGAAGGGCTGTTCCTCATGGTGCTGGAGTTGGGGATCTCTGAAAAGTAGGATTTTTGCTATGCTGAAGCTTTGTGTGTGCTTTAGACTAACCTACTGCACAAAGGTCAGTGGCTGAGTGGCAGAGCACCTATACAGCAGGTTCAGTCCCTGGCATCTCCTGCTAAAGGCCCTTGGGTGTCAAGATGCTGGTAAAGACTGTTTTCCAGAAACACAGCCCATGAAAGGAGACAATCCTGAGTGGCCTGACCCACTGTTTGGGAAAGGTTGTTATTCAATGGAAGTATGGAACACTGCACATGTGGCCCCAAGCTCCTTGGAGGAAGAAGATAAAAATGTAACCAAGAGCACAATGACAGATTTTTATCTGTCCTCAGCATTGGTTAGCCAGAGGTATGCCTCGCTTGGTTCAGGGGCACAACACTTGCTTTGCATGCAGGAGGTCCCAGATTCAATCTCTGAAATCTCCATTAAAGGAAACCGATAGTAAGCAATGTGAAGATCTCTACCTGAGACTGTGCTGCCAGGTACAGCAAACAACAGACCTTTATAGACTAACAGCCTGACTCAGTATATGGCAGTTCCATGCATTCACGTCCCTTCTGAGAAAGAAAGAAAGAAAGAAAGAAAGAAAGAAAGAAAGAAAGAAAGAAAGAAAGAAAGAAAGAAAGAAAGAAAGAAAGAAAGAAAGACCCTGCAAATTAATACTAGAACATCTGCAGGAATGGTTCTACTGAAGTCTCTGCATGTTGTGCTACTTTCCCCCACTTACGGGGGATTCTTAAGCTAAAGGAACTTTGGAAAATGTCATCCCTCCTCTGCAGTCTGAAGCCTGAAGTCCATTCTGCCACTTCCATACTCTTCCACCCCCACTACCACTTCACTCTGCTGTCTAGACCAGGCCAGAGTTTAACCACAGTGTAATTACAGCATTAAATTACATTTTAAAAAGGATAACTTTCCCTTTGATAGTTCTCAACTGATGTTCATCAGTTTCACTGGACCACCCTGAGTATCATCTCCCCCCAGCACACACACACCATTCGGAATGTTTTCACTGCCTCTCATGCTTAACTAGAGATAACTGCCCTAGACGTTCCCATCAGAGATTTGCTAAAGGTAAAGTTTCCTTTGCAACAGTACTTAAAAGGCAGGACTAGAAACTTATTTCAGTTCCCTCATTTGCAGGCATCGCAAATGTTCAGTTCTGCAAAGAGCTGGAAAACGTTTCCAGTGCTTAAGGTACCAACCTCCCGTTTTTTTCAAGTGCTGCAGTCCATTGGAACTTTCTAATTCACTGAAAGTCTCTTCTGTCCAGGCCACCTTTTGGAGGAGTGGACTTAAAGCTGGCAGAATACGGGCTTGAATACTGGTCTGAGTTTGGTAATGGGTGGCTGTTTTCAAAATGTGTACAGCAGCCCAGGGATTTGGGCTGGGTTATGTTCCTGGACTACAAGCAGATAGTTCAGGGCCAAGGTTTGTAGGCACCCAAAACACGCCACTGGCCCCATCATGAGAATGTTTCAAAAGCACCACAGGAAAGCGGCAGTAGTGAAATTTAAGACCTTGATCTGGTGTCATTACACAACTCTTCCCACCTCCACCCAGATCTTGTTTCTTGGCTGCCCAAGGAAAGTTAAACCAGCAGGACTCTGGGAGGCACAGCAGAAGCCTGGAGCCACCCACTGCCAAAATACCTCCTATGGGCCAGGGGAAACAGGAAAGAAGACAAGAGGGAAGGTCTCTTAAACCTCTGGCCAACAGCTGTGGTATCTGGAAGCCATTCCTCAAGATACATCTCTGAAGCTTTGGGGATCCCCCCCCCCTTCCTCCTCCTCCAACAGCAAAATCCAGGATGTGAAATAGATTCTCCCAGGATCACCTGTGACATCACATTCCACCGCCCTGCAGAGAGACAGAGAGTCACTGAAATTGCTTACTTAGGAATGGGCACTCGAATTATCGGCCCATCGGCTTCCGGGTTCAGGTCCATTCCACTTTCTCGGATGCCCTTGATAGCTGCAGCTGCGCTCTGCAAAGCCAAGATCAAAAAGGCAGAAGGAATTAGTAAATAATTATTGCCAGACGCCAGAGCTCTCCATCAATGGGGAGCAATCCATCTTGACAGAACATGGAAACATTTAGTTGGGTTACCAGCGAGACCAGGAAGTGACATTGACGGAGACTGCTTTGATCAAACTGAATTGCACGGCACAGCCTCCCCCTTGGTATCAAGGTATCAGTGAAGTGGCTGGAGTGGAGTGGGGGGTAGTGGAAGAAAGCGAAAACCAAAAACGAAAACTTTTTTTTAAAAAAAGATGGTTTGAGGCAACACAGATCAAAAAACCACAGCAAACTCTCGAGGGGGGGGGAGCGCCTGGACTTTGCAAAGCAAAGGGCCAAAGGAGATGAAAGATTCCGAGAGAGTATTTCTGCGTGCCAAAGATCCCACGCGGCAGGAACATAAAGGGAAGAGTTAAACTGTTTAACTCATTCCACATTGCCACATTGCAAGCGGGCAAGTGTGAAAATAAGGGGGATTAGCACGCTGCCTGTTCTTTACAGCTGCAGATTTTCAGACTGCGTCTGAAAGGCTCACGCTGCAGCCACAGTCACTGACATGAGGCAAAGGTGACAGGCAGGCTGGGATACGATGGGGCACTAAGTCCCTTTCACAGGCCAGGCTGTCAGTGCTGTGGGTACTCTGTGCGGGGGGGACGGACGGACGAATTTTAAAAAGCTTTGTCCAGGCAATCCAAATTAAGCATCATGAAATGCTGGATTCTGCACACTCTGTAACATACTATATACATTTGCTGATATTGGGGTCCAAAGAGTCTGGTCCAAAGGGGGCTTATGCTCCTTATCTGAAAACACCTTTTGCTTGGGTATGGTTAAAATTGAAGATTACATCAAGTAAACATTTGAGATATAATGTAACTACGCCTCCCATTGTAATTAGTCAATGAATGTATGCCTACTCAAATGATGCTATCTCATTTGTAACCAATTAAGATTTCTGTATGTTTATTTATTTAATTTATTTATTTACATTCAGCTTATATCCCACTCGAACCCCTCCCACGGGGTCTCTGAGCGGCTTACATAGTTTATTATCCCTAACTATGGGCACATACATAATTGGGGTGGGATTGCCTACCAGCACCCAGTGCGGTTCAGTTAGTATTTCCTCAGCTTGTCTCGGCTCGGCTCCCGGCTTCAGCTCGGCCTCTCCATCCACTCTTTCTTCAGACTTCTCGGTGGTCTTCTGGAGTCGAAGGGGCATTCGTCGCGCCGACCGCAGTGCGGCTCCATCCCTCAGGCTCTGCTGTGCCGCTGGGTCTTTGCGCTTCCTGGCTCCGCCTCTGCTGCCGGTCCACCGCTCAATGTTACATCTTTCTTTACGTCCGCTTGCCACCTCGCCTGCCGCTGCCATTTCACACCGCTCCGCCGCCGCCACTCGCCGAATCACCGCTGCTAGAGTCCCACCCCACCTCCCAATGGAGGAGGGTGCTCCCTGCCTTCTAAGGCAGGTACCCATTCATCTACTCGCAAGTTGTTTTTTAAGGCTTTTGAACTGCTGGGTGGGCGGGAGCTGGGACTAGGACCGGGTGCTCACTCCGGCCGCGGTGGGTCTCGAACAGCCTACAGGCTGTTCGCTATATGTTAAGGCAGGTGCTTTTGCTCCCTGCGCCACCGCTCCCTGTTATCTTTTGCTTGTATCATTTTGGGTATAAAATCTTATGTTCTTCCTTCTATTATTCAGAAAGCAGTCAATTTTTGACAGGCAATTCTGGCCTGAAACTGTTTTTCTATTTGTTGCAATAAATACCTTAAGAACTTATTCTCCTCACTGGCACTTAACTCGTGTGTTCTTTTTGGGCTTGGGGACACTCGAGCCACATTTGTGGTACGCGTTTGAAAGAATTCTGGTTTTGTTAGCTTTGAGGAGGGGTGATGAGCCAGACAGATGACTGAAGTCCACCTCACCAGACAGCCACTCCTTCGAAACTTTAGGAGCTACTTTTAAGCATCTCTCTGCAGCCAGAAATAGCCTTTTAGGGTCTCTGCCATTGGTCCATGTAGCTCAGTGCAGTCGACTTGGACTGGCAGCACTCTCCAGAGTCTCAGTTGGAGAAAAGTCTTTCCCAGCACCTTCAGCACAGGATTCGTTACCTAAAGCTGCCAGGGATTGAACTTGGGGCCTTCTTCACATGCAAAACAGCCCCAACTCCTCCCTTAGTCATACTGCAATTGGGGCTTGCACCAAGATGTTGTAGAGCAGTGATGGCGAACCTTTTAGAGACCGAGTGCCCAAACTGCGACCCAAAACCCACTTATTTATCGCAAAGTGCCAACACGGCAATTTAACCTGAATACTGAGGTTTTACTTTAGAAAAAACAACTCATACATTAACTTAAGATGATCCAAACAAAGTAAGGAACGCAATCCCAAATGCTTTCATTTACTTAAAATTATTTGGCAGAGAAACTGACACTTTAATGATGGTCTGGGCCTGGCTGGGGCGATGGCACACATGCCCAGAGAGGGCTCTGAGTGCCACCTCTGGCACCCGTGCCATAGGTTCGCCACTACCGTTGTAGAGGATTCTCAAGGGGTGGGCTGGGAGGCAGCACACTGGGTCACCCAGTGAGGTCATAGCTATGGGACCTGAACTGGGGACTGGCTGGCTCTCACAGTTCTTAAGCACTTTTCTGGCACAGCCCTGCACGCATGCTGGACCCCCTCCACAGCATTCACTTACTTCTGGGAAGTTGCTCATGTTGACAAGGATGAGCTGGGGAGACTTCAGGGACACCTGCCCAAGCTGGTTTAAAGGAAACTTCCCATCTTTGGTTGTAACAATGACGTGATCAAGAGCCCCTGAAAGAAGAAAGTGCAATCGTGACAATACCTGTTGGCATTTTGGCACTCGTGGAAACGAACACAGCAACAAGCTGTTGACTGCCTCTCTTCTAAGCCAGAGGCCTTCCTGCAGTTACTGTTGAGTGGATATATTTTCTGCTGACCAGCTGTCTTATTGGTGATATTTTCTGCTTATGGGGTTCTGTTTTTAAAAAACCCACCATTCTGTGCACCATTTTGGGAATTTCATCTTGATAATGAAATTAAGGAAAAGTAACTTGTGAGAGCCCACAGCAAGTAGTGATAGTGGTGGGATGCCAATACAAAATCAGGGGAAATTACCCAAGTCTCATGCCCATACATTTTCCTTTCTGGAATCAGTTTGGCACAGAACAATACTCTCCTGATAGAAACAGGAACACCTTTTAGGTCCTCCTGTTTCCAAAATTTTCTCTGGCTACCAGCTTTCTTAATATCCTTTCCCATGACACAGCGGCTGTGTAGTACCTACTGATAATATGTGTATTTATCTAACATTGATAAACTAGCCAAGCACTGAAAATGTTCGCTGATTAAAATTTCTGCCAATTGATTGATCATGTAAAGCCAAGCAATTAAAGATCTTTAAGAGCAGAAGCCCAGGCCACCAGCTTCTGAAGGAGCCATGACGGGCTGGAGAGAAACCAGCTGAGGTGGCCCCTCCTCCATCTTTCTGAGGGCCACTGTGCTTTGAGGGGAAGGCAAGGGAGAGATACCCAAGTCAAGGACTTCATACCATCAACTCACAGCTAGACAAACAATGGCCCAAGACAGTTTTTTTTTAAACTGTTTGTTGTTTGGTCTTTTCAAATTTGAATGGTAACCTGCCTCAGATGTCTTGACGTAAAGCCGGCATATGAATGCATTAAGTAAACAAAACCACTGAAACCTCTAATGGGTTGCTAGCCCTACTACTTTGGTTCTGTACAGTGCCCAGCACACTGTTAACACCAGATGCAACTTGTTGTTATTTCAAACTCCCACTCCCTCCATCAGCAATTTTTGTAATCTGCTTTTGTGATGGCTGCTACAGAATGTTACCAGCCAGAAAGGTTGAGGGGAAAAAGGAGGCCCTTGGAACAGAGAGATAAAGAGTTCAGCATGAGGAGACAACTTGTAAAAGGGCTTCTGTAATGCATTTGGAGCTAAGTCTCACACTTGTGATTGCGTCATGTCAAATACAGTCTAGTCAAATGGATGCTTTAGCACTGCATTCATTTCTGCCTGTTAAAACTGAGCTGAGATGTCTCTATGGAACAAGTTTCCTTAAACACAGTTAGGAGTTGCTCAGTGGCCACACAGATCTGTGCTTTTAGCGAAACATGCCCCTGTGTATCTCTCCACCCCACCCTAATCCTGAAGGCAATTTGCAAGAGGCTAATTTAGTGGCAATTGCATCTTTCCTGCCTGGCCCTGCTGGTAACTGACAACTCCCTTCCTTGTCACATCTGCAAACAGTTTGCTTAGATGCTTCTGACATCTCCCACTTGCCACGGCCTTCTGCAGGAAGCTGTTAGCAAAAACAGATCCTTCCTGGTCAAGCTCAGGGTGAAGAAAGATTTTGTTAGGACTCTTCACCAGCAGTTGTCTTCGTAAGTCCCCTGAAGGGCCACAGCCAACCTTCCTTCCTTGGTGGGGCTGCCATATACCTGGGAGTGGGGGGGGGGGTTTAAAGCCATGAATTGAAATAAATAACTTTCTCTTTACCAACAGGGACACAGTTACAATGCACGCGTATCCAACCAGTCTGCATTCTTTCCAGAGACTCAAGTGGCCATTTTCCCCTCTCTTAATCAGAAACATTATTATTATTTTTAAAACCTCATATTATTGAAATGCAGACAGCATTCTGCTAGATGAAAATTAAAAAAAAAAGATTCTCAGGTGGGGCAAATCTGGAATCCATCCCTAGCTCCAACCTGCACTGCAAAGTATCAGTTCTTCCATCTTTTAATTTAAACAGCCAGGAGGCTGGTGTACCAAGAGTGGAACTGAAAATCTGGACAATTTCAATCTATTATTGGTTGAGAATCCACCTGAAGCCTACAGGATTGACAACCTCCCCCCCGCCTCTAGCCTCTACCCCATATCCAGTCCACCAGAATAATAGATAAGCTAGGCACGATCGGGTTATGTCCAGAAAATATTTTGGAAATGGGTTTGACTAAAGCAAAATCTTTGGTTCATCAGCGCTCGGTTGATATTGAGATTCAAACTGATGGAGCGCTTTTACCTAAGATGTATAGTAATCTAAAATCTTGGCCTGGATTTGCAGCAGCACCATATCTCTCTAACATTACGTATGAAAAGTACCAATGGGCTTTTTCTAGAGCGCATTTTGATGCCTTCCCTTCTAACTTACTGCAAGGAAGGTATCTCCGTTGGCCTATCCATCAAAGATGCTGTGTATGTGCAGATAAAGAAGTTGAAACAATCACACATATTCTTTTACACTGTAAACTCTATGGTAGAGAGAGACACCAGCTAATTTTTCCTTTACTTGCCCAATTTAAACCCTTGGACAATTACTTGAAATTTGCAGATACTGTGCTGCTGAAATATTTGTTGGAAGACACCAAGAAGTCGGTAACTCTGGTAGTAGCAAAATATTGTTTTTTAGTAATAAATAAACGAAAGTTTTTAACAGAAAGCACAGGCGGAGGAGAATTTTAGACAAGACTTAGAATTTGGGGAATAGAATTACGGTTTTAATAGGGGACTGTGGCTTGTACTATGATTGTACTATTTTCTGTGACTGTCTGCGACTGTACTATTTTACTATTGTACGATTTTACTGCACTGCTGGTCAATTGGCCGTAATAATAAATTTGATGTGATTTGATTTAAACAGCCTGTTTAATCTGTCATATAAAACTATGAGAGGGAGGGGGTTACAAAGAAAACACCACTTCCTGCCATGCAGAGGAGTCTGAGGAAGCCGCCAGGGTGGGAGAAGAGACAGCTAGCAACTAACCTGGGCTGGTTCTTATGTTCACATTTTTCCCAAAATCCTCCTTCAGAGCTTCAACCACTGCTTGCATTTCCTCGTTAACGTCTTCTAAGTCGATGATGTCCTCCACTAAAGCAGCATTGATGTTCACTCGAGCCTGGCCTTTTCCTTTCACTGCAAAAGTGCCCAGAGATTCCCAAAGGAATTAATATAGGACAGGAGTGGAATTGTTCCCCTATATCACAGTAGTACTCTTGCGTGGTTTCTATTCACTTCAGTGGCGCTTAGGCAAGAGCTCTCCAACAGATTGAGCCCTTGGCCCTCTCAAAAACTCTTCAGCAATTCCCTAGAACAACAGAGCAGCCCTGCTGGATCACACCAAGGTGAGACTATTTACTATTCCATTCTGTTTCTCCCAGTGGCCAACCAGAAGCCCACAAAAAGGGCACAAAAGCAACATTCACCCCCTGCTGTTGCCTGAACACCAGTTATTAGTAGTATACTGCCTCTGAACATGGAGGTTCCACGTAGCTATCACATCCAACAGCCATCAATGTACCCATCTTTGGGAATTTGTTAAATCCCCCTATGTATGCCAGTGGTCATCACCAAATCTTGCCTTGAACTACAGGTTGTGCAAATAAGCACTTTGTTTTAATCTGTCCTGAATAACCTGTCAGTCATTATCAGTGGATGGCTTCTTGTGCATTAAGCATGGACAGAAAGTTCTCTATCTATAATCTGTGTACTTACCAGAACATTTAAAAACTCCACCACAACCTCTCCAGCTTTAGTGTCTTTTACTAAACTAAAAAACTTCAAGTGTGTCTTTACAAGGAAGGTCCTTCAACCCCTTTGGTAACTGCCATTTCCTGTACCTCCTCTATATCTGCTATCATCTTTGAGAACAAGCCGGTTAGTAACACAACTAACTTACCAAAAGCGACTTTATACCTAGTCTGACCACTTGTCCATCTCAGTACTATCTCCTCTGACTGGCAGGACCTCTCAGGCAAAGGTCTTTCTTAACATTAGTTACCCAAGATTTTGTAATTGGGACCTGAACCTGCACTGAGCCACAGACCTTCTATTGAGTGAAGCAGGGAGAACTTCTAGCCATAACAACTAGGTGGTCTGAAAAAAAAATTAAGCTAGTACATGACTGCACAAATGAGACCCAAAAATGCAAGTGCTAGCTTCTTTTCTTACCTTTGGCTTTTTTGGCAGCAAGATGTCTGGCCTGCAGCATCTGCCAGGCCCTGCTTTGGCTGCAGTCATTCAACACAGGACCCCGCACATTTTGAGGAGCTTGCTGTGATGACCTCACAACCCCCAGGGCAGAGTAACGAAGGAGGGGAGGCATCTTCTGGAGCCATCTCAGTGGCCCAGCCATGATGCACTCTTTGCAGCTACCTAAGGAGTTACACAGCAGGCGGTTTGCAAAGACAATACACCTGTATTCAGCAGATGTCTACCTCACAGTCCATGGAGTCCCATCCCATTCCCAGTTAACGGTTCTGTTATCGATCTAGCACTAAGGTGGGGTGAGCTGAGGATCTTGCATGACACTGTTGGATGGAGACTGAAGGCAATGCCCCCACTTTCTAGTGGGGAGCTATGTTTGCTAGGGGGACTGGGGCAACTCACCATCCCTCCTGCACCTACAACCTCCTATGCTGTGGCACTCCCATTCCAATACATTTCATACTTAGTAACAGGTCATTTTAATATACATATTTAAATGAATTCATGTGGAAAAGAACACCCCTCTTTCCTTTGGGAAATGTAAGCATCCTGGTGCTGCTTCCAATGGAGAAAGGTTTGCCTTTGCCAGACCTGCTCTAAGAAAAGATTTCTACACCTTTAGTATAGCTCAGTAGCCAATAAATTGAGAGAGGTAGCCATGTTAGTCTGTTGCAGAAAAATTAAACAGAAGTCCAATGGCTCTGTAAAAAGTAATATAATTTCTCCCAGGAATAGTTTGCATGCACAGGCTAATGCTGGAATAAATGATGTTATTATCTGAAGTGATGCTGGACTTCAGTTTAATTGGTAGCCAGGAAGGCTGAATTGAGAAGGTGGCATAGACACTTTCTGCTTCTTCAATGCTAGAAAGGAACATTTAGAGCTGGTTGGACTGTGCCTGCGACAACCCAAGAGGCACATGTCTTTACCCTGTCCTAGTATATGGGGAAAAGCAGCAGTTACCAGGGTTCTTCCTTTTGCTACAATGAACGGGCAACCTCTTTTTTTTTAATACCTGTTTAGTTCAATGTATTTGCTTAAAACCAGAGGTCATCACAAAGTGCTTAGCACAACAAAACCAGTTATGAGTGTTTTTTATACAACCTTTTTAATTACCCTGTCACAGAATTCCTGGGGAAAGTAAAGCAATATAGATAGGAATGAAAACAATTTCAGACAGCAGTATAGACGTATCTGATCCACATCTTCCATTGGCTTTTCCCTTCACCAGAAACTTCCATCACCCAAGCCCCACCCATTCTCAGTGGAAGCCTCAGCACGCTCCCTCACTCGTCATTGCTTTTAATTCCGCCTTTACTGCCCAACCTGCCTACCAGACAAGTCTCCTCTCCGAGGCAGAAGAAAACCACGAAATTGACGCGCCCTTGTGACGTTTCCTATCCTCACAGCGCGCGTGTAAGTGACGGTATCACCAGCGGCCGTTGTTGCTGCATTTCCTTTTGGCGCGGGCCAATAACGTCACAACGGGGCCAAGAGAGGTGCTGAGGGGATGCCGGTGAGTCTTTTGTTGAGTTGGGGATGGTCATTTTTCACCTCCTCCCAGGTTGTTTCGTGGGGAGAGTGCTCGGATGGAGTCACCCTGTCCGAATGTCAGCTAGAAGTTCCGGAATCGAGGGGTGTACCTCGGGGGGGGGGGCGCACACTGCACACGCCCCGGGGCCACTCGAGTGGTTCTGTTAGCAGAGGGCGGGAGCTATGAGGCTGAACCTTTCCTGGCCTCGGCGGGTGGCCTCAAGCGGACCCCATTCTGAGACCTCTCGTCCCTTCCTTTCTTTGGAAGACTTACCAGAGGCTAACGAATTATCTAAATGTTAATGCTGACAACATATACGTGTTAAGCCTTCTTATACTTCTTGCTCCCTTATTGTTCTTATTGGTTTGTTGGCTTGTGTGTTTGCCGTTGCTCTTAGGGACGGTGTTTAGCTCGAGTGTTTATTTTAATTGTAGGTCAGTGGTGGGGAGAGAGAGAAATATTTTAGGGGTTTTTTTTAAAAAAAATGATGTTTAGACCTTTGAAGAAGTTTACAAATAAACTTGGGCGGTATTCCATACAGATAGATCAAGGTGAGTAGGCATGTTGGTCCGAAGCAATAGAACAGAGTTAGAGTCCAATGGCACCTTTAAACTTTGTTGGTCTTAAAGGTGCCACCGGACTCTGACTTTGTTCATTTGGGTGGCATTGTTATATATGCCACTATTCTGCCAAAGAACTCAAGGTGGCTTACTATTTTAAAAGCTTATGTTATTCAAATGTATTGTTGTATGTTCAGTGGTCAGGTACTGCTTTTGCATGTGGAAGGTCTCAGGTAAATTTGCCAATTTACAGGTGGTGTCTGAAGATATCCTGGGATTACATCTGATCTCCAGGTGGCAGAGATCAGTTCACCTGGCTGCTTTGGAAGGTGGACTTTATGGCATTATTCCCCATTGATGTCCCTCTCACCAAACCCTGTCCTCCTCAGGCTCCATCTCCAAAATCTCCAGATATTTCCCATCCTGGAGCTGGCAACCATAGATTCAGTCCCTGACATCTCTGACTACAGGGTCTTGTAGGGAAGGACCCTTCACTGCCAAAGGTCCTGGAGAACCATTGTCAATTAGAAGAAAGAGGATTTGGTATATAGTAGTTTCATATTTTATTTACAGCTGTGTGCTTGTTTGAGATTTGAGGATATATGGTCTTTTTCAGTACTTAAGCTTGTAATATTTGTTCTCCTAAGACAATAGCTGGACTTGCCAGGTAAATAAACAGAGAAAAATCATTATCTTAAAAAAGAAAATAGAAAATGAATATGGTCATTTCATCTTTAAAGACTTCAGAAAAACCTTCATACTGGTCCATGAGACATATAATGAAAAAAGTAGATAGGCAAGAGCATGATCCAACAAAGTGGTAGACTTCTGAGTTTTATCTTTCTCAGACGAAGAAGGGAAGGCAGTGCTAGCAGTGCCCATTCCTCCTTCTCTAGCAGTGAGAAGCTTAGCTGCATGGTCCAGGTTTCCTTCTGAAGAGATGCTAAGGCATATGAGCTGTCACTGTTACTGCCTCTGTTGGTAGTCTTTTTGTGTCCCTTAAGCCCAGTTTTCTGGACTGGAATGTGTTTGCACTGTGCACATATTTTTGTTCAAAGTCTACTTCCTTGTACATTTATATTCAACACTTATTCTATTTCTGCATTATAATACATTTAGCATAGCAATATATTTACAATTTTTAAACTATTTCTCATTCTAGATTTATCTCCTGCTTGCATAATTAACACTCCATCTCTCCTCAAATTTAAAAATTGATCTGTTTCTCAAATAGGTTCTTAATTTTGCCATTACTGCATAATCAGCAAGTTTATTTTCCCATTCTTCTAAGCTTGGGCAGATGTCTGATTTCCATTTTGCCGCATAGATGATTCTAGCCACTGTCACCATATATTTGAATACCTCATCCAAAACTTTTGGTAATTTGATGGGCAATATTCCTAACACCGTGTTCTTAGCTTCCATAGGGAATGTAAATTTTAATATGCTCTGGGAATCCTGTTTTTCTGCAATGGGTGACCAAAGCAGCTTATATAAAATAGAGGACAGAGTAGTGTACATTATGCAAGGGTGTGGTCCAACCAAGGTATCTTCAGGTTTGCAGAAGAGTGGAACAAGGTGTTAAATAGAAATCACTTGAGCTTCAGAGTTTGGTTGTGTCCTTTGGGTTTAAAGCACTTTGTGTGCATTACTGGTACATTGTTACTACCTCTCTTTCTTCCACAGAATCCCTCCTTGCCTCAGTGGCCTCTGTTATCTCCTTCTCAGTTTTTATAGCCCACTTTAATACATGTAATTTTATCCTGAGCCATTTCTCCCTACCCTCTTGTTTTCCCTATGTTCTATTTTTAGATTGTAAACTTCATTAGGGACAGAGACGTGTCTGTCTTTATGTAAATCTGTAAGCCACTGCACATACACATACTGGCACTATATAAGTAACGTATATACACGCTTACATTTTCATAAAATGAACAAGGTCTCTGATATGAGGACTTTACAATCTGAATATTGGTAGTGAAGAGGGAAGATTTTTTTAATTGGCTTATGTTGCAGTGAGGATTGCGAGGCACTCCAAAGGGATCTGTCAAGTATGGGCAAGTGGGCGTCAACATGGCAAATGGGGTTCAATGTGGCCAAGTGCAAGGTGATACACATTGGAGCCAAAAATCCTAAATATAAATACACATTGATGGGGTCTGAACTGGCAGAGACTGATCAAGAGAGAGATCTTGGAGTTGTAGTAGATAACTCACTGAAAATGTCGAGACAGTGTGTGACTGCAATAAAAAAGACCAATGCTATGCTGGGGATTATTAGGAAGGGTATTGAAAACAGATCAGCCAATATCATAATGCCCCTATATAAATCAATGGTGCGACCTCATTTGGAATACTGTGTGCAGTTCTGGTCACCACACCTTAAAAAAGATATTATAGCTGTGGGAAAAGTGCAGAAAAAGGCAACTCGAATGATAAAAGGGTTGGAACACTTTCCCTATGAGGAAAGGTTAAAGCGCTTAGGGCTCTTTAGCTTGGAGAAACGACAACTGAGGGGAGACATGACTGAGGTTTATAAGATTATACATGGGATAGAGCAGGTAGAGAAAGAGGTACTTTTCTCCCTTTCTTACAATACAAGAACTTGTGGGCACTCCATGAAATTGCTGAGTGGTCGGGTTAGAACGGATAAAAGGAAGTACTTCTTCACCCAAAGAGTGATTAACACATGGAATTCACTGCCACAGGAGGAGGCGGTGGCTACAAGCATGGACGGCTTCAAAAGGGAATTAGATAAGCATATGGAGCAGAAGTCCATCAGTGGCTATTAGCCACAAGGTATAGATAGAGGCTCTGGGGCAAGTGATGCTCTGTCTTCTTGGTGCTAGGGGGGGGGTCAACAGTGGGAGGGCTTCTAATGTCCTGGCCTCACTGGTGGACCTCCTGATGGCACTGGTATTTCTGGCCACTGTGTGACACAGAGTGTTGGACTGGATGGGCCTTTGGCCTGATCCAACATTGGCGTCTCTTATGTTCTTATGCAGTCCTGTGGGTGGGATGGTACTGTTGTTTGTTGGATTCTCTGGATTTGGTACTGCCAGGGAACCGCAGAAAAATAGCAGAGTGCTCAAAGACTTTAACGCAGCAAAGCTTGGGGCTAGGTGTGCCAACAGACTTACAAAGTTACACAGAGTCAGCAGTCGGTTCTAAAACTAATAAGTAACTTTTATTAAAGGAAATAACTGCTTGAGAGTGCAGGTAAGCGATAGATACAGATTACCTATTCTAACTAACTAGAAGGTGTTGGATGCTGAACGCATGTCCGGCCTCCATGTTGCAAGATGGAGATCAAGCACCTTCTTTCTGTGTGTGCAAGAGAGAGAGAGAGTGGAAGCAGAGGAAATTACCCCTAAGAGTATTAGTCTACTTCAAAGGAAAGGATGCTCTATGTGTCCTGACCTCGCTATCCGTCTAAATGCTTTGGTGCCATCTTCTCAAGTTTGAGACAGGAGACAGCGCAAAGTCCTCCACTTCTAACATGGTTGAGAGAGAGAAAAAACTTTGTTGGAAGCCACTCTTTGCATTCATAGCAGAGATGAAATTTGAACCAGATTTGAACAGTTCCTATACTTGGGCATTGAGCTACATGAGTGCATTCTGTTGGTATGTTCCAGGTCTGAGATTTCACTTAGGAAACCGGTTTGGACCACAGACCTGTTTCTTGTGATGGTGCTGCTCTCTTAAGGGTTGAGCCAGCTCTTCCCATTTTCCAGTCTCAAGCTGAATTCCCACCAACCCTTTTCTCCTCCTCTCTTCTTCTTAGGTGCGGATGGCGGCCGCAGTGCCTCCCATGCAGAGCCTGTGCTTGGAGAACACATCCATCTTGTCTGAGGGGGCTCTGCAGGATGGTCATCGCCTCTGGATTGGCAACCTGGACCCTAAGATTACAGAGTGAGTGAGGGGTGGGAGGGGAAGGACCTGAGCCTGGAGTTTGAGAAGGGAAGTAAAGCAGAAAACATACCACTGTTACTTCTGCTGCTATGTAAATCTCAGCTTGGATCACAGAATTTCTGGAGCTGTACAAATCCATGGGGTGAGGTTGCCTTGAAAAGGAGTGGGCAGCAAAATGCTGAGAGAAAGAAGGACAAAGTGGTTTTCTCCTTATTCAGACCCATGCTCAAGACAAGGCCGTACAGCCACAACCTTTCCTGGTGCGTCCTAGTGTTCACTGCCATTCTACCTTATTGGTCCAAGAGATTCTCCTTTCCCTGTGTTGTTGTCTTGTGTTGGTTTGGTGTTTTATTCCATGCTGGTTGTCATCATCCACAGCCTTCAGCTGATGGTCAAGTAAAGGAGATGTGATCTTTGAGATGGTGGCAAAAAGTGGCCTCTAAGGCATGATGGGCCCAAGATATTTGTGAGCGGTCGCCAGTAAGAGCAGCTGTGTGTGCCTGAGTCCCTTTTGTGGTGGCAGCAAATGTTAAGTGTATGCGTTTGACATTCCCTTGGCCTCTGAATGATTAGCACGTTTAAATTGCGTGCTAACACGTTTGAGCAAGTTGAAGTGGGGCAATTAAACACCAATGGAGGAGAGCTTGATTGCTCACAGGGAGATTAGATGCGCGAGGCCGGGATTTGGTTGGCCATTTCCCCCCAGCTTTACAAAACAATCTTGGTTTTATGCATTCCAAGTGGCTGCACTTGTTTTATTGCCCGGATATTGTGTGGCTCTCAGCTGTGGAAGCAATTTTTGCCCAGCTCCTTGTATTTCGGGAAGTGGTTTGGGTTTTTTGTTCCAAGTGCTGTTCCTTTCAGCCGGGCAGCGTCCTAACCGTGCCTCTAAGTGGAGTCCGTCATTAGCGTAATGCCCTCTTCAGGCGAGTCATTCAGCACTGCGCTAGTCAGCCTCTTCTTGGTTTTGCATTAATTACCATTTTTGCCCTGTGTTTATATTGCTTTGCCTTATCCACTGTGAGTAATTGCGAGCGATGTTGGCTGCCCTGGCCTCTGGTAAGGGTCTGTTTGTAAAATTTTGGGGAATTAAAGTCCCACAAATGATGGGGGGGAGAGAACATTTGCAGCAGTTTGATCTGCAGCGAAGATTTTCACTTCAAAACACAATCAAAACTTTGTTTTATTTGGTTGTACTGCTTTATTTCTGGTTGTTACTGGTTTATTTCACAAGGCAAGAAAAATCCAAGGCTTTTGGTCACACAGATGCTTTAAAATCACCCTGTTGCTAGAGACCTTTGGCAGTCTTGACTCCAGCATCTACAAAGTGGGAATCTTTTATTGGCCCCATAAATCTTGCTATTTTGGAGGTATCTGTGTAATGCATATGGACACCTTGGAGAAAAGTGCCCAAGCCTAGCCTCCTTGGTATGCTTGATGGGAGATGCAAGCATGCTATTAAACCTTGCTTGCCTTCTGAAGTGCTGTAGTTCAAAAATGGCTATGCCTCTTCTGTCGAACTATCTCAATGGCTAGTTATGTGGCTGTGGAAGAGTGTTTTATAGTTCGCCTTCTGCAAAATGGGAGTAGTAGTGGTCTATCTCACAAGGTTGTTGTAATGGCAAGTGCAGCAAATGCCACACAGGCATTCTGCCCATTAAAAGTACTACTTACAATTGATAGTAGTTGGGTTTCTGAGGAAGACACTAAGGGGATTAAGACCATAAGGTGATTTCCTGCTGGATTGTTTCAAATAGTGGCCAATCAGTTGGTTGGAGGGCTAACAAGCAGGGTACAGCAGTCACAGCCTTTCCCAATGTTGCTTTTTAGTATTCAGAAGTGTACGGCCTCTAAGTTTGGAGGTTTCCTTTAGTCACCATGGCTAGCAGGTACTAATGGACCTCTCCTCCATAAATTTGTCTAATCCCCTTTTAAAGGCAGTAGGGATGGGTTGGACGCATTGAGGATGAGGCCAAGTGATTGCACAGATGACAAATTCGATGTCTTAAGTACAAAAGCTTCCTCCCTGTGGTGTTTGTGTGCCTTTAAATTTGATATTTTGAGAAGCCAATTTTGAGAAAAATATCCTGCAGTCAAAATGACAGGAAGTGCAAATGTCATGGTTTGCCAGGCACAATGGCTTACATAGCCCTTTAGAAAAGCTTAAAGTGCTTTATATTCTGATTCATTTTTGCAGTAGCCATTTAAAGCAGACATTCACTTTTCCCATATTAGAGTTAAGGATGAGAGAGTTAGGAACTAGGGGTACCCCAAGATCATACAATCTTGTTGGCGGATGTGAAGTGGAAGCCCCCATTTTCTCTCTTCAGCTTTGGAGAGGCTTTAACTAGCCTGCTTCCTTTCAGTATTTCGCACCTAATTTGTCCCACCAGAAATACCGTTGTGTGCTTGCAATACATTTCACTACTTCTGTATTGTGATTGTCAGTGAATGGCATTGATCTTGGTATGCCTTGGTTTACGCATCGGCAAGTTGTCTTTCTCACAGCCCGTGTTAATATCGTAAAACAACTTGGTACTAAAGTTCAACTTCTTTGGAAGCCGTTTGAAAAGCGCCATATATCAGTTCCCTGCATCCCATTCTAAGCTCTCCTGTGAGGAGTTTTGTTCAGCAAACAATGTGTTTAACAACGTCTTGCTGACTCCCAGCGGGCCAGAATTCCCAGCTCTAATGGCTTTAGCATGTGGCCAGTACGATTCCCATATCCTCGGGACAGCATTGTTCAGAGGAAGCCTCAACTCAGCGTTTGAATAGCTCTTAGGGTGCCAGGAGGAAGGCTTGGAGGAAAAGGAAATCAGCCTTGGCCAGATTGTCCCATACTTGCCTTGGATGACAGGAAGTAAGAACGAGGTCTGGCTGCAGCTCACAGCAGAGATGTGACACACACACCCTCCCCATGGGGGGATCACTCCAAGTACCCCATCAAGACGCTTTAGTAATTTCTAACAGCCTGGCTTCCTGTTCCCTCTTCATAAAGCAGCCCTGCCATGCATATAAACCATTTCTTGGCCCCTTGAACAATCCTATCCAAATAACAATCAAAAGTATTGGAAGTGAGGAACAGAGACATGTGCAAAATTGCAGATGGGGAATCCAGAATAAAATTTGTCCACAGGCACTAACAATCGTACCTCATTGTGGCCAAACAGTGTCTCTTGCCAGGGAGGATCTCCTTTGTGGCAGTTCTTGCTTTCTGTGTGGGTGCCTGTTTGAGATACCTAAGATGAGATGTGCCGCTCTTTCTCAGGTCTCCTATAACAAGCACGAAGCATGGAATATTGCCAAATACAAAGTTAGTCCTTAGCTTTCCCCAGGACATCCAGAGCTAACGGCATGCATAGTGGCATCGGAGTCATGGAATGAAGCAGGCACACGCCACAGCATAGTAGAGCGGGAGCCTACAAAGGCTCTTCCATCTCTCTCTGTCCAATGCGCTTGGTTCTGAGCCTGCTGAGGCTATGGATTAAATCAATATGGAAATATTCGCAGACTCATAGTCCAAGTGTAACATGCCAGGGCAGATATTTGTAGGCTCCCAAACTGCTGTCGAAAAAGTGAGTTATTTAGACACAAAATATAGTTTGTACTTAAACCCTTTGAAGCAGTTGACAACGTATGATCTGAATACAATACAACTATTAAAACACAGTCTCATTTGAATTGTGGTCATGCCTGCAGGATCTCTGTTATTTTCTGCATGACTTGTTGCTTTGCACTGGCACATTCCACGGTATCCAGTGGTCTTCTCCACTGTTCTGGTCAACATGTGTTGGCCGTGCTGCAGTTATAGAATTGTTATCTATGTGGGGCTTGGTAGACTGTGACTTTAAAACAGAACTCTCGCAATGATTTTTTGGCAACTGAATGCACAGCCGCATGAGCAGCATGTTTGAGAGAACCCTGCAAATGAGGTATCAGGGGGAAAGGGCATTTCTTAACTCTGCTTGCAGAGGAATGCTGCAGTATCAGAGCTTGGGGGTTAATATGCTCATCTTGTTGTGCTCTAAATTGGTGTAATTTAACATTCCTTCCCCCCCCCCCAATCCAGCACAGTATTTAAGCTCAATGACTCTGAGGCTGTGTTGCTTCCCAGCTGTGCTCGGTGGAGACGCTACGGGAAAAGACGCATGCTGAATTCTGATGAAATCAAGACTGATGTGCAGCCAGGCAAACAGGCCCTAAAAATAGGCACTCCTCTGGGGCTGGCCAAAGGAAATCTAGTCGTGTTCCCTTTGGCAAGATATGAGATATTTTTGTTTCAAGGACAGAAACGAGTCATGTTTTTGAGGCGTCAGGAAAGCAGTCGGTGTTTGCCAAAAGAGAGAAGGCAGGTGGTGGGGGACTGCATGTACTTCTAACAATAGCTAATAAATCTTGATGATGACTTTCAAAAGATAAATAACTGAGACTACAAGAACATATCTTAGAGGTGCAGTTATCTTCCTCTGGTTGTAGAAAGGGATGTGACCCCAGAAGGTCTCTGCCAAGTCCAGAGAACAGGCTGGTACTTTCCAAAAATATTAAGGTAACCAACACTCTCCTGACTTATAAGATTTTCTGTTCAGAGTTACTCACATACCTGCAGGAAAACCTGAGGGCTACTCATATGCTGTCATATGCTCCTAGGAAGAGTTTTCCCCTTAATTTACATTACAGTCTCCTTAAAGCAGGGTTAACTGAGCTAGGCCACTTTTCCCTTGTGGCTGCTTGGGTCTTCCTCCTCTTCCAGGAACACATCCACAGTGACCTGACTTGGGAGAGTACTCTGGTTCCTGGAATTGCCTTGCTTGTCCTGAAATCCAGGACAAAACTAGCAGACACCTGCATGACTTTTAAGGAAGTTGTTGTGATCGAGCTTGTTTCTGGGAGCCCAGAGTAGTTGCTGAACTTGATAGTCAAAGAATGAAGCTGTGGACTGTGTTGGACCCTCTACCACCCAAGAACTGGAAACTATATTGGGCCTTCTGTGGAACTATTTTCCATCTGGTGACCATATTCTGCAGATCAACTGCGTACCATAGCATCAAAAGCATTTGATATCCTGAAGTGCCTTTTGGTGAAGGCATGAACAATGTCCTTTCTGTCTTTGTTGCCAGAAAAAAAATCAATATTTTTCTTTGGGATGAGTGAAATCGTTTTTAAGACATGGTTTTAGTCACTCCAAATGTGAAGTATGAAGGTTTCCATGTAAGACAGTCAACGGCATTATATAATAGTAACTTGTTTATACTGTAGATATACGCAACACACAAATCCAAGGTGTTGTTTCTGCACCTAGAGGGAGCTGCTGCCTTAACGAGAGGAGTGTTTGTGGCTTTTTTTGCTTGTAAGCTGCTGCTTGCCTTTTTCTGGTGACTTTTAACGCTAAGATACCTGCCTTAGTAGCATAGGGTACAGTGGCTTGCAGCGTTCTCTTGCTCTCCTTCTGCACGTTTTACAGTTTTGTTTGTAGAATACTAAGGTCCCGGTCACACGGGCTGGAAAATGCGGGGGGTGGGGAGTGTGGCTGTTTGCCCCGGAGCAAAGTAACTCGCAGCAGCCTGATCACATGTCCCGTGGGTATGCCATTAGGTGCCGATCGCACAGCTATCCTGCAGTGCAGCGCGATCCCACTGGCAATCGCTAGGTGCCGCTTCCGTGGCAAATGGGAAATTTTTCCCCCTCACCACAGTGTGCGCATGTGCTGGTAGGCGTTTCTGCGCATCCTGTGGAGACTTTAAAAAAAACCATCCGGTTTGTGACGGGACATGGGCGGGCGCCGGATGCCACGGGATTCCAGTGGAAACGTGATCAGATGCCTGCCCTTGCCCCATGTTTTCCGGAAACTAGCACATCGTATGCACTAGTTTTTTACTCTGTATCTTCGGCAGGAAGCCACGGGTTAGCCACGGGTGCACTACGCTTCCCAGATGTTGCGGTGTGGTCGCGCCTGGAAAATCTGCCTATCATCCGTATCTTTAGCGCGGCAAATGCTCCGTGTGAACGGGGCCTAAGGTGTTTATATGTTCATATTTCTTAAATATGCTAAATAATACAATTTTATACATTAACTAAGTTAAAAGAAAGTATCCCATATATTTCATGTTTTCCCAGGGTTTTCCATGGCTTCTCTGTTTCTGGAAATTTTGTGTCCCCAGTCACATTGTTCTTCAGTTCAGTCCTGAGCAATGCCATGACAAAAGATGTGAGAGCTGCTTGTGTTGAGCTAGTGCTGTCAGTCATCTGGCTTCCTATCAAGTTCATCTTTCTTAAGCCCTTTCAATAAACAGACCATCTCTCTTCTCTCCAGGTACCACCTTCTTAAGCTCCTTCAAAAGTTTGGCAAGGTGAAGCAATTTGATTTTCTCTTCCACAAATCAGGTGCTTTGGAGGGTCAGCCCAGGGGCTACTGCTTTGTGAACTTTGAGACTAAACTGGTAAGATTTTTTGGGGGGAAGTGGGTTCTTTCCAAGCTCATGGGTAATGATTTGTTGTCTTTTACTGCTGAAGCAATGGTGGCCCAGACATGGGTTGTGCTCGGTGGCCTGAGGCTGAGAGCAGGGGCTAGCCAAAGTTCCATAAAACATTCATCGTAACGTCCTGGCTCATGGGACAGCTGTTGAGTGAACAAGCAAAGGATCTGGTTGTCTGCCCTGAATGTGTACATGGAATCCTGGGGCCAGAGATGCTGAAGCCAACTAGAACCATGGCAAATTTTTGGACAGAAGGCATTCTCTCTTCCTCCCCCGCCCCCACAAGGAGGCCAATAGGAGGTGAGGGGACTGGGCATAATGATGCACTGGTCTTTCCTGACTCCACACCAATGCCAGCAGAGCTCTTCCTTAAAGGAAACATAACTCTGGTGGCCCCCCACCCATTCCCAGGGGAGGTGGCATCAAATTGTGGGGTTCAGAAAGGAACGGCTAGTATGTCAACCACTTTGGTGTGCCCACTGTTCAAGGAAGGTGGGCCCTGCCCATGTGTGGGTGGGGCTTGCTGCTGGGTGCCTTCTGCAGGTTGCTTACCAATATGTGCATCCGTCGTCTGTACTACAGCCTCCTGTGGCTGTTTTTACTGTTTTGAAAAAAACTAACATTAACCACAGAAAGGACAGAGGACATTCCTTGGGAAGGGATTAATTTTTTAAATTTTTTTCTCGCACAGGAAGCTGAGCAAGCGATCCAGTGCCTCAATGGCAAGTTGGCCCTGTCCAAAAAACTGGTGGTGCGGTGGGCCCACGCCCAGGTCAAGGTAAGCAGACCTTGGGTTCTCCCTGCTCCTCACAGCTTTGGAGCCAAGCAGCCTGAGTAGTCTTATTGTTGTGCCTGCTGCTCTGAAGGGGCCAGCAGCCAGCCCATAAACACACATACTTGTCTTGCTCCCCTTTGTTGTTCAAGGGCTGAATCAATTTTTTTGTTCCCTTTTTACAAAGTAATTTTTGCTGTTCCTGTCTTTTTTTTCTCCCTTTTCCAGAGATTCGATCAGAATAAGAATGAAAAGATCCTGCCCATCAGTCTGGAGCCCTCGTCCAGCACAGAGCCAGCCCAGTCCAACCTGAGGTAAGACCCTTCCCAGCATTAAACATGAACAGTGTGAGTTAAGGGGAGGAGTCGGCCCTCAGATTTCAGCACTGGAACCCCCAGAATCAGCCTTGGGTTTTGTTTGTTTTTTAAATCTACTGCCTCTCCAGATCTGTAGGAGGCAGTTTCCAGTAAAACACACAGGCATGGTCTACGGTGAAACAGCAGATAGGCTAACAGTATTTTACCTGGTTATACTGTAAAATATTTTATGTAGCTTCTAAATACTGCACTTGCTGAAACTCCTACAATGTGCAAAGGTTGCCCAGGTGACTCTTGGGAATCCTTAATGCTCAGCTGCTTTCCCCAACTAATGATGTGTCTCTTTTAGGGCCTAACTAAATGTCTTCTTATTTGGGCATTTCAGAACTCTGGTGAAGTGAATCAGTGGTTTGTTTATGTTTACTAACTCTATGGAAATTATTGGGAAAGATGCTTTGCAGAAGGTGTTGCTCTGTATGTTGGAGAAGACACAGTCATATAAACTAGAAAATCTGAACCGTGGATAGAAACACCAGGCTTCTAAAGTAACTTAGTAGTGGGGACATACTGTTGCCCCATGATCAAAACTCTGAGACATATCTCAAGACACAGAAGAATCAGGGATGCACCCAAGGAGAATATATTCTAACAGTAGGTGACTTCAGCTTGGAAGCTGAACCCCTTTTCCACCCATGCAGCCATTGAAATCCAAATCAAGTGCCGGCATGCCTGGGACTGAGTTCTGAGTACAGAACTCCCAGAGTTCGTCTGTCAAACAGACTCAGGAACAAACCTGGGTGGAAAATAACATGTAGTTAGGCCCTTAGAAAATGCATCTTGCAGCTTGGTGGTTATCATGAAGTGTGTGGTCCCCCACCAGAGAGAGAAAGTGTCCTTTGTCCCCCCCACCCCGTGTATGGTGAGAGAGACAGGGGTTTCTCCCACAGTGTGCCTATAGTCTTGAGAATCCCCTTTAGAAATTGGAGGGAAGGGGGAGGGCATAATTTCTGTTGCTGCTTTGTAATGGCTGAAATCGTTCTTAGGAGCTGGGAGTTTTCGAAGAGCCATACAAGAGCATCACGGTAGCCCTTCTGATCAGGGACGAGGTCCACCTAGCCTAGCATTCTGCTTCCAGCAGAAGTCAACAATGTGCTTCTTGGCACTGCACAAGTTGGACATGCCCAACTGGCACAGAACATGGAAGTTCTGTTTAGCTGTCATGACGTTGGATAGTCCTCTTTTCCTTCATGAACTTCTCACCTTTAAAACCATCTAAGCCAGTGACCATCTCCACATCTTGCAACTGCAGATTCCATAAATTAATAATGTCTGTATTTTCATTTGCTTGTGCTGTCCTGAGCTCTAGTGTTGGAGAGAATGAAATCGTGCTTCCTGATCAGCTTGCTGTGCCACCTGCCTTTTGATGCTGTCACTGAAGGATGGGAGGGGTTAGAGAAAAGATAAATCAGGAACCCAGTGGGAGCGCACGAGATAGCTTGAAGGATCCAGGGCTATATATGGCTGCCTCATTTGTTTCTACCAAGATCTCCTAGTTGGTATATTTGGCATCTCTCTCCTCTTACCTTCAGCAACCATGCCGGGGGGGTGGGGGGGCTGTGGAGCAGTTCGGCTGAGTAGGCAGGTGATTTGCAAACCCAGCTCTGTAGCAATATAAGAGATGGTGGCCGAAAGAGCTGTTTTACAAGTGGATAATAGGATTTCTGATTCCTTAGTGAGATTTCTGGTCTCTTTAAAAACCTTGGAGAGGCAACCTTCCCCACCCACCCTCTGTGTCATGTTTCTAGCTTTTTTAAAAATCCCCCATGGTCTCAACAGCAGTTTGTCATGCAGCACCAGAAATCAGTTACTGGTGGGGGTTGTTGTTCAAGAAACACAAGCCTAAAGCTGTCCTGGTTGCATGGTGCTTTGAATCCGGGCCACCATGTGGCTTGATTTTGGTTTTAAACTGTCTTGGGGGGAGGTTAGTTTTTAAAGCAAACTTTTCTTGTCTCCTCCACAGTGTTAACGCAAAGATCAAAGCCATTGAGGCCAAGCTGAAAATGATGGCAGAGAACCCAGACGCAGAGTTCCCCCCAGTGGCTGCTTATTCCTACTTCAAGCCGCCTGATAAGAAACGGACTGCTCCATACTCCAGGGCAGCCTGGAAATCAAAGAGATGATCTTTCTGAAACGGAAGCTCACCCTCCCGTGACCAACCTTCTTGTATATATTGTTAACTGGGAAGATCAGTGGACTGCCTGACTGTTGGAGAGTGCATCGCCTTTGACCTGGCTATCTCACCCAATTATGTGTGGACATGAACCTTCTCAGTGGTGTTGGGGAAGATGAACAAAATATGATGCCATCCCAAAAAGCTGCGAATAACATCTTCAAAGAAAAACCTAAGTTTGTTTTCGGTAGTAATATCCAAAGTTTTACCCACACCAGTCTGACTCTAAAGTATGAAAAAATTTTCATCAATGGAATTATTTTCTTTAAGTGCTTGACTTAGTTCTTTTTCCTAGCCAGAAAATACTATTGGTGTTATTTGTCAGCGTAGAAAATAGATTTGTTAAAACAAACAAACAAACGAATAGAGGGTGATGTGAGCAGAAGTAGCTCCAGCAACCAAACCAGCTGCACAAGTTGCTTCTGTTTCATCTTGACTCTTGTTAAAACAAACCTGTACTCTGAAATTGGGGGTGACTCTCTTGTGTTGCTTCTTCTGCCCAGTTAAATGCACTCGGACATATGTATCAATACGTTCTTTTTAAATGATTGTACAGGAATAAACTATATTCAGGACTACCAATGTAGCTGTTTTAACATGGCATCTTCTTGTAATTTATTTATTGCTTTATTTTTATGCCTCATTCTTCTCCCCTAAAGTGGTTTACAACATTCTCCTTTTCTCCCTTTTATCCTTACAACAGCCCTCTGCGATAGGTTAGGCTAAGAGAATAACTGGCCTAGGCAGAGTCGGGTTTCAAACCTGGGTCTCCCAGATCCTAGCCCAACATGCTAACCACTCCAGCAAGACAAGACAAGCTGGCTGTCCTTTTTTTTTTTTTTTTGGTAAACAAATTTTATTTTCTCAGGAATACAACATATAAAACATTTCATTCTATCAATTGTCTACCCCATTCCCAGTTCCTCCCCTCCCTCCAATGGCTTCCCACAATGCTTCCACCCCTGCTCCAAATTACTTCATATCATCAACAATATCAGTTTCTCATCATTACAATCTAAAGATAACATCATTTGACTTAATATTGATCTAAACATATTAAGTTTTGTTTCACATCCCAGTTCTTTTCCAGATAAATTTTAAAGTCATTCCATTCTCCAAAAAACTCATCGTCTTCTTTGTTATTCAGTTTTTTTGTAATCTTATCCATTTGTGCCATGAACAGAACTTTTTGTATCCATTCTTCAACCTCTGGTACCTTTTCTGTCTTCCAAAACTGAGCATAAATCATTCTCGCTGTCACTATCAGGTACCAGAGTAAAGTCTTTTTAGTCGTATTGACTTCTTCCATTTTAAGTCCCAAAAGCAGAATTTCCGGTGCTTTTTTAAAAGAACATTTCAATATTTTTTGCATTTCATTGTGGACTTTTGTCCAAAAGTCTACAGCTTTCTCACAAGTCCACCACATATGATAAAATGAGCCCTCATGCCTCTTACATTTCCAGCATTTGTTTGACATATTTTGATTCATATTTGCAATCTTCTTAGGTGTCATGTACCACCTATACATCATCTTATAACAATTTTCTTTAACATTAGTACATGTCGAGATCTTAATAGAATTTTTCCACAAATATTCCCAGGTTTCCATAGCCACTTCCTTATTCATATTAATAGCCCATTTTAACATTTGTTCTTTAACAGTTTCATCTTCAGTATACCATTTTAACAACACCTTATACATTTTAGAAATATTTTTTCCTCCTCCACTCTCCCAAACCTTTTCAATTTCATTTTTTTCCTCTCTAAAACCATAGTTTTTTTTGTCAGATCTAAAAAGATCATAAATCTGCATATATTTCAACCACTCATATTCATATTCAATTTCATTCTGCTTTTTCATTACCCACTCTGTTCCCTCTTTTTTAATTAAATCTCTATATGGCAACCAGTCTCTACCTCGCTGTCTTGAGTAAGATATCAACACTTCTACTGGTACAATCCACAATGGTCTTAAGTCACTCTGGTACTTCTTATATCTTGTCCATACCATATACAAAGCTTTTCTCACCAAGTGAAGTTTAAAAAAACTGTCCATTTTTATCTTGTCATACCATAAATATGCATGCCAGCCAAATCTACAATCATGCCCTTCCAACCCCAACAATCTGTCATTTTCAAGCTTCACCCATTGATCCATCCATGTTAGACAAACCGCTTCATAATATAGTCTAAGATTTGGCATTTGTAGACCTCCTCTTTCTTTGGCATCACAAAGTATTTTCATTTTGATCCTTGGTTTCTTGCCTGCCCAAACAAATTTTGACAACTCTTGTTGCCACTTGGCCAACAAATCCGTTTTATGCAGAATTGGTATTGTTTGGAACAGGAACATCAAACGTGGTAGGACATTCATTTTTATAACTGATATTCTTCCCATCAGTGATAAGTTCATTTTATCCCATTTCTTAAAATCTTGAGTCAGCTTAGTCCATAATTTCTCATAATTATTCTTATATAGGTCTATATTTTTTGCCGTTAATTCAATTCCAAGGTATTTTGTTTTTTTAACTACTTCACATTGTACCAGTTCTTGTAGTTCCACTTGTTTTTGTTTGATCATGTTTTTACATATAAGTTTTGTTTTATTCTTATTTACGTAAAAGCCGGCCAATTCTCCAAACTCCTTTATTTTTTGAAAAAGCAATGTCAATTTTTCTGTTGGGTTTTCCACCATAAACATTACATCGTCTGCAAATGCTCGATATTTGTATTGGTGTCCTTTATGTGTCAAGCCCTTTATTTCTTGATCGTACTGTATTTTTTGTAAAAGTATTTCCAATACCCAGATAAATAATAACGGTGATAACGGACAACCTTGCCTTGTTCCTTTCTGTACTTTGAAGTTATCTGTCAGTTCTTTATTCACATTTATTTTAGCTCTTTGTTCAGAATAGATAGCTTCAATACAATTTCTAAAATGTTGTCCCGCTTCAATCTTTTCCATCATCTGGTGCATAAAATTCCAATTAAGATTGTCAAAAGCTTTTTCTGCATCAACAAACAGAAAAGCTACTTCTTTTTCTGGGTGCTTTTCATAATATTCAATTGCGTCCATTACTATTCTTACATTGTCTCTAATCTGCCTTTTGGGTAAAAAGCCCGCTTGATCTTCAGAAATTACCGTTTGTAAATAGTTTTTCACCCTTTCTGCAATAATTTTTGCAAAGATTTTATAATCGTTGTTCAAAAGAGATATTGGCCTGTAGTTCTTTACATTTGTTGAATCTTGTCCTTCCTTTGGAATCAAAGAAATAATTGCTTCTTTCCATGAGTCCGGCACCTTTTTGTTTTCTCTTATTTCGTTGGTTAAAGCTTCCAGGACCGGGGAAATTTCTTCTTTCATCTTTTTGTAGAATTTCGCTGTAAATCCATCCGGCCCAGGCGCCTTCCCCAACTTTGTCTCTTCTATTGCCTTCATCACTTCTTCTTTTTGAATTGGACCATTTAATAAATCTTTGTATTCCTTACTTATTTTTGGTAGTGGAATCTCCTTTAAATATGTTTTAATCTTCTCAAGATCAACTCTAGTTGTTTGGAATAATTTAGCATAATACTTGAAGAAACATCTCTTTATTCCATTAGGATCAACGAACTCTTTTCCATCTTCTATTATTTTGGTTATCATTCTTCTCTCTCTTCTAGCCTTAAGTTGCCAAGCTAAGTATTTTCCCGGTTTGTTCGCCCCTTCAAAAGATTTCTGTTGTAACTTCTTTAAATTCCAATACATTTCCTGATTCCAAGTCTCATTCAGTTGTTCCTTCAGCAACTTTAATTCTTTGATAATTTGCTTTTTTCCAGGCTTCTTTTTTAATTCCTTTTCTTTCTGCGCAATTTTTTCTAACACTGGCTGTCCTGATGCATTTCAAAATAAAAGTTGAAATTCTCGATCCCAGTTATGCAAATCAAGCATATTTGCATAATTTTGTATACTTTCGCTTACATGTGGACAGCAACAAGTTAAAATAGATATTGGAGTCTCTTCCCAGTTACTGGAAATCTTGTTCACCTGGCTTCAGTATATGTTGCTCCCATACTTTCAAGCATTTCATCTCAAACATGAATCCTACAAACTTGTGTTCCGCAGGTTGTCTCTTTTGCTGTTGATAAATGAACATTGCCATATTAGGAAGTAGATTCCCGGCCAAATAACATTGAATTTCCTGCACTCTTGTGTTATTTCAACATTCACCTGTGTTGGTGTCTAGGGTTTTTAATCTTTTTTTCCCCCTTCTTCTATCCCAGCTTTTTAAATTGCCGTTCCACGAGACTGAAATCCATAAAAACCATGCAACTTTGCATTATTTGTGCCATTATTGTTAGAAATCTTTGAGCTCTTATTTTCATTGTTTTGTGTTTTAAATGTTTATTTTCCTTTTTTGTGTTGCTTCAAGTGGAGGCAAGATCACACTCGAGTCCTGAGGTTCTAGTGAGGGTTGCAGTAACACAAACAAGTGTGTGCAATTTGTGATGTAAGGAGGTTGCTACAGACTAGACAGTGCAGCTATAGTACCCTTTCCTCAATCCAGCCACTCTTTGCCCCAGTGGAAAGCTCAGGATTCCCTCCCCCTTCCTGACTGTGTGCTTCCAATGAGTAGCCCCTGCTAGATTCCATGTAAATGGAGACCTTGCAGTCAGGGTCGTTTTGTAGAAAAAGAGCTAGGGGAACTCATTAGCATATGCCACACCCCCTGACATCACCGGAAGTGTGTCATAAGGCCACACACCCCGTCCCCAACGGTCCCGGCCGCTGCCGCTGGCCTTGCAGCTCCACTGCCGAGCCCCATGAGGGGCCCGGCGGTGGACCTGCAAGGCCGGCGGGAGTGCAAGGAAGCCCCGCGAAGGCCCTCCCTGGCCCCAGGCAGGCAGGGGTGGGGAGAGGCAGGGAGGAAGCAACTTGCCCTCCCTCTTCTCCTGCCTCCTCCTGGCTGAATGAGGGCCGGAAGCGGGGCGGCCGGAAGCGGGGGGCGGGGCTTCGTCATGTGCCCCGCCCCCCGTACCTCACCCGGGGGAACTGCGATCCCCCCCGAAATGACCTCTGCTTGCAGTTCTTTTAGTCTCCCTCGCCCCTGATCTTGTGTCCTGAGGTTTGTTTGTTTTTTAAGTATCCTCTTATCTATATTACCAATCAGATCCAAACCCCACTTAGCAACACCTGGTATTTTCTGACCATTTCTTGGGCCCTCAGCCAGATGTTTGCATTCTGATGCAGACTCTCTGGAAAAAGGTTGGACCAACCTACAAAACAATGTGAATGTGGGGTGTACCATATAGAAATTTTGGTGTGTCTTCATATGGAATTTGGAGCAAGCATGCAGCATTGTAGAAAACCACCAGCAGAATCCCAGTGTGTCCTTGGTGGGTTTTGAGTGGCAGTCGGCTCTGAACAGTTTCTGTGTTACAAAAGGGAAAAATGCTTTCAGCCACCTCCTATAAGCTTGTTTGTACAGCAAGAAAAGTTCATTTGTGAGAAGCTGGCTTCCCACAGCATTGTGATGTGTCTCCGTGTGCAAAGCAAAACAGCTCCAAAAGGTCAGAGGTGTCTCTTTGCAATTCTACCTGCAAATTCACCTTTCTGTTTTTTGCACAAACAGAGGTTGCAAAATGCAGTCCTCCAACCCTCCCCCTCTCCTTTTGCCTTCACACAATGGTGTATGTTGTGGGCTGCTTCTTCTGTGCAGTCTGGATTTTTGTTAGGTCACACATCTACAGTGGTGGAGGGGAGACATTCTTTGACCTGTATACATTTTTCAAAGACTTCTAGTCCCGCTTTTGGTCTGAGTAGTTCCTGCATTTTTCCTATGTGCTGTGCTGTTTTGGTGGCTGCATTTCACATTTCTATGGCTAGTTGATATTTTTAATACTGTACTTACACAAAAGGAAGACTAGACTCATTTCTGGGTGTGCTGTCAAGAAAGAGTGGGTTGTCTTATATTCAAGTGCAAGCTAGTACTACGTACAGTCATTTTTAAAATTTTTGTAACTGGTGGGCAGTGTTCCCTCTAAGCTGAGTTAGTGTGAGCTAGCTCACAGTTTTTTAGCCTCCAGCTCACAGGTTTTTGTCTTAGCTCAGAAAGGATGGCTCCAGAGCAAACTAATTTATGCAATAGCCAAATCTCTCACTCACAACTTTGATGCCTGTAGCTCACAAAGTAGAATTTTTGCTCACAGGACTCCACAGCTTAGAGGGAACATTGGTGGGGGGTAGTCTTAAATTCAGGGTTGTCTTCATTTCGGGTAAATATAGCTCTGCATAAGTACAGACAACCACTTAGATACTTTTTCCTGCTAGCGGGGCCTGGAATTTATAATGAACGAGCATCTCTGGCTCTGTTCCTTAGCCTTGTAGTAGGACTGTGAGTGGGGCACTGGGAATGTTGAGGCTGGGATGAAACCAAAAAAATTCCCTTTGGATGCTACTTACATTACAGACTCTGTTGGCTGTTAGAAGGGTTGTGTGTGAAAATTCATACAAGCGGTGACTTTATGACATTCTTCCATGCTCTAAAAGCTCCCAGCAGGCTAAGCCAAACCCTTCTGACAAAACTGCAACCGTTCTCTGCTGAGTGATCGTGGAGGATGGATGAGATTATAGAGGCATCTTGGTTGCATAGTCTTGAAAATGTGGGAGTTCTGCTGAAAGCAGCTGTAGGGCATGCCAAAAGATGGTCATGTGTGCAATGACCCCGTGTTTCATTGGGGAGGGGAGTGGGTCTGCTGCAACACAGCTCAGATGCAGGGAACAATTAGCAAAATTCAACAGCTCTCTGTCTCCCAATGCTATTTGCATGCTGATTTTTTTTAAAAAAATGGACGGTCAGGGCTTGCAGAGTCACACAAGAAAATTCTGTTCCTTGTAACTCCAATTCTGTGCTTGGAATTGATTATGCTGATCAAATTGTATGCAAATAGTCTGTCCCCCCAATCCTTTCTTCTTCCTACCTCAGACCTCTAAAAAGGCATCTAAGTATGCAAATAGGGGCTTTATTCACAGGCTTTACTAAACGTTTCTGGGGGGGGGGGGGGGTTGGTAGAATATGGAACGTTCTGATAAAGGAAGAGGGCAGCAGAGGCAGCGATAAAGTCCTGGGAAAGGAATACAGAATTTACCTGACACCCAAGAACTCTGATGGTGATGGGTGTCGGGAAGCGACATGACCAATGACCTGCAAGTAAGGAGACAGAAATTACTCAACCTTGCCCTGTTGCACACAGTCTCGTGTGTAGTGATTGGTACAGGGAAGGGCTCATTCAAATCCCTACTGGACCATGAACCACCTCAGTGGATGGCCTTGGCCTGGGCCAGATGCTGTCTCCCACCCTAATATACCATGCAACACTGGAGTGAGGATAAGCAGAGAGGAAAATGAATACTTGTCAGCTCTGCAGCTGCCATGGACTGGGGGGGGGGAGAGATGCTGAACACTGGATAAATGGTCTCTGCCTGTTTCTCTGGAATGTTTAGTTTCACTTCTCTCTGCATCCTTATTGCCCGTTGGCCTTACTGGATGACCTTGGTACCTTGTTACTCCTTTTCCTTGGGAATGCTTGCTTGCCCGTTAGCTTAGGTGAGCTTTTGCGGGACTCCTGATTGGCCCTTATCCACCCACTGACCCATTTGATTTCTCTATATCACTAGCCTGCGCGCCCGCGCTTTTATTTTTTTTAATATAAATTAATTTTATTAAACATACACCAGACATACAGACAAACACTAACAATACTAAACACAAACATAAAATGGGAGCATCCTTTCATACTTTGAGTAAAAAATTTGTTGTCCATACATCTCAAATCATAAAACTGTCCAAACTTTGCACAATGTTTAATATAATATTCTTATTAACCTCTATTTTGCTTTTAGTTCTGACAATGAATGTATGCCCAGAAGAACTGCCTTTACTGTACTCAATAAACATAAACCTTTTAAAGGAGTGTTCTTGAAAACTGATTGCTGCAGGACTCTGACAATACTGTTCTGAGCTCCATGGGGAAGGGTGGGGTAGATTCAGCCTCTACTTGAGTCCCTAGAGAACCACACTTGCTGTCAGCATGTAAGGCACTTCTGAGTCTTACAGCTGTTCTTCCTTTAGCTGGAAGGATCATGGGTGGAGGAACTGTTTTGCATGCTGAAGATACCACGTTCATGCCCTGGCAGCTCTGGTTTAAAAGGCTGGGACTTTTGTGTGACAGTTGCTCTCAGTGGACCAGATCCAGTAAGAGGCTGACTGGGCAGAAGACCTTTGGGGGGGGGGGTTGTGTGTGTGCCTGTGCCTGGAAGTTATGGCGACCTCTGGCAACTCCTACTGGGGCATTGGAGGACATTCAGAGAAGTGGTTGATAGCTTGTCTCTACTTCCCGGCCCTGGTATTCTCAGGAAGTCTCCCATCCAAATTCTTGCCAGGGTCAGTCCTTCTTAGCTTTCGAGATCTGATGAGATCGGGCTTGCCTGGGCAATCCAGGTCAGGGCATAGAAGGCCTTCTGGAAGGATGAGTAGACAGCTGATCGGTCTCTGTTTCCTTCTCATCACCAGCCCAATGGGCCTGTGCTGCATTTGCAGAAGGGGAAGTCATTTTCCTTTCAGTCTGGATGTCAGACTCAGGAACTGTGACTCCCCTCACCAGCCTTTGCTTTCTCATGGTTTTGTTGTTCAGTCGCACAGTCGAGTCCGACTCTTCGCGACCCCACGGACCAGCTCCCGCCAGGCCTTCTGGTCTTCCGCCGTCCTCTGAAGTTTGCTCAATTTCATGTTCGTTGCATCTATGACACTGTCTAACCATCTCATCCTTTGCCGTCCCCGTCTTCTTGGACCTTCAATCTTTCCCAGCATCAGGGTCTTCTCCCGTGAGTGCTCCCTTCTCATTTGGTGGCCAAAGTATTTGAGCTTCAGTTTCACTATCTGGCCTTCCAGGGAACAGTCAGGGTTGAGTTCTTTTAGGATTGACTGATCTGATCTTCTTGCAATCCAAGGGACTCTCAAGAGTCTTCTCCAGCACCATAGTTCAAAAGAATCTATTATTCGGCGCTCGGCCTTCCTTATAGTCCAACTCTCGCAGCCATACAGGACTACTGGGAATACCATTGCTTTGACCATGCGGACTTTTGTTGGCAGGGTGATGTCTCTACTTTTTATCATGCTGTTGTGGTTCGCCATCGCTTTCCTCCCAAGAAGCAGGCGTCTTTTAATTTCATGGCTGCTGTCACAGTCTGCGGTGATCTGGGATCCCAGGAACGTGAAGTCTGTCACTACTTCCACGACTTCCCCTTCTATTTGCCAAGGAGTGATGGGGCCGGATGCCATGATCTTAGTTTTTTTGATGTTGAGCTTCAAGCCCACTTTTGCGCTCTCCTCTTTTACTCTGAGCAAGAGGCTCTTTAGATCCTTTTCACTTTCAGCCATTAGAGTGGTATCATCTGCATATCTGAGGTTGTTGATCTTTTCCCCAGCAATCTTAATTCCCGCTTGTGATTCATCCAGGCCAGCATTTCGCATGATGTACTCTGCATATATATTAAATAAGCAAGGTGACAATATACATCCTTGTCGTACTCCTTTTCCTATGCTGAACCAATCAGTTGTTCCATATCCGGTTCTAACTGTCGCTTCTTGGCCCTTATACAGGTTTCTCAAGAGACATGTGAGGTGGTCTGGTACTCCCATCTCTTTAAGGACCTGCCATAGTTTGTTGTGATCCACACAGTCAAAGGCTTTAGCATAGTCAATGAAGCAGAAGTAGATATTTTTCTGGTACTCTCTTGCTTTCTCCATAATCCAGCGAATGTTGGCAATATGATCTCTCGTTCCTCTACCTCTTCGAAACCCAGCTTGTACTTCTGGTAGTTCTCTATCCACGTACTGTTGAAGCCTAGCTTGTAGGATCTTGAGCATGACCTTGCTAGCGTGTGATATGAGTGCAATTGTGCGATAGTTTGAACATTCCTTGGCATTGCCCTTCTTGGGGATTGGAATGTATACTGACCTTTTCCAATCCTGTGGCCACTGTTGCGTTTTCCAAATTTGCTGGCAAATTGCATGCTGCACTTTAACAGCATCATCTTCTAAGACTTTGAATAGCTCAGCTGGAATACCATCACCTCCACTAGCTTTGTTGTTAGTAATGCTTTCTAAGGCCCATTTAACTTCACATTCCAGGCTGTCTGGCTCGAGGTCAGTGATTATACCGTCGTGGTTGTCAAGGACATCGAGGTCTTTCTTGTATAGTTCTTCTGTGTATTCTTGCCATCTTTTCCTAAACTGCTTCTGTTAGGTCCCTACCGTTTTTGTCCTTTATCATGGCCAGCTTTGCATGGAACGCTCCCTTGATTTCTCCAATTTTCTTGAAGAGATCTCTAGTCCTTCCCATTCTATTGTTTTCTTCTATTACTTTGCACTGTTCATTCAGGAAGGCCTCCTTATCTCTCCTTGCTGTTCTCTGGAAATCTGCATTCAGTTGGGTAAATCTTTCCTTTTCGCCTTTGCCTTTCGCTTTCCTTCTTTCCTCTGCTATTTGTAAAGCCTCATCAGAAAGCCACTTTGCTTTCTTGCATTTCTTTTTCTTTGGGATGGTGGTGATTGCTGCCTCCTGTACAATGTCACGAACCTCCGTCCATAGTTCTTCAGGCACTCTATCTATCAAATCCATGGTACTTTGCCCCAATAGATGCAGCAGAGAAGCTGCCACCTGCCTTGGGCTGATCAGCAACCTCAGTTACTGCCGCTTCCATGCAGGGACAAGTCCCCATTCTGCACTTGTTGCAGCTGCAAATGCAGAGGCACCTGCAGGGGCAACAGAGTGTCCACTTAGGAGTGCGTGCCTTGTTCTTCTTCCTTGGTATCCCCTTGTGTCTCTTGTTCTCCCTATATTCCCTTCCCTGCTGCTGGGCTTTTTGCTTTTTTTTTTAAGCAGCAGTAGCTGGATTGCTACTCACATGTCTCTTGAGAAACCTGTATAAGGGTCAAGAAGCGACAGTTAGAACTTGCTTATTTAATATATATGCAGAGTACATCATGCAAAATGCTGGCCTGGATGAATCACAAGCTGGAATTAAGATTGCTGGGGAAAAGATCAACAACCTCAGATATGCAGACGATACCACTCTAATGGCAGAAAGTGAAGAGGACCTTAAGAGCCTCTTTTTCAGAGTGAAAGAGGAGAGCGCAAAAGTGGGCTTGAAGCTCAACATCAAAAAAACTAAGATCATGGCATCCGGCCCCATCACTCCTTGGCAAATAGAAGGAGAAGTCATGGAAGTAGTGACAGACTTCACATTCCTGGGATCCCAGATCACCGCAGACTGTGACAGCAGCCATGAAATTAAAAGACGCCTGCTCCTTGGGAGGAAAGTGATGGCGAACCTCAACAGCATGATAAAAAGTAGAGACATCACCCTGCCAATAAAAGTCCGCATGGTCAAAGCAATGGTATTTCCAGTAGTCATGTATGGCTGCGAGAGTTGGACTATAAGGAAGGCCGAGCGCCGAAGAATAGATTCTTTTGAACTATGGTGCTGGAGAAGACTCTTGAGGGTCCCTTGGACTGCAAGAAGATCAAATCAGTCAATCCTAAAAGAAATCAACCCTGACTGTTCCCTGGAAGGCCAGATAATGAAACTGAAGCTCAAATACTTTGGCCACCAAATGAGAAGGGAGCACTCACTGGAGAAGACCCTGATGCTGGGAAAGATTGAAGGTCCAAGAAGACGGGGACGGCAAAGGATGAGATGGTTAGACAGTGTCACAGATGCAACGAACATGAAGTTGAGCAAACTCCAGGGCACAATGGAAGACAGGAAGGGCCTGGCGTGATGTGGTCCATGGGGTCGCGAAGCGTCGGACTCGACTGTGCGACTGAACAACAAAAAGCTGGATTGCTATAGTGACATAGCAACTACCCATTTTTCTTTAAAAGTGTGTAAAAATCTGTGTGGGGGGGGGGTTTTGAGTCCAAGAAGATTAAATAAATTAAGAGCAAATAGTGCCTATTTGGCAAGGGAGATTTAGAAATCAGCACCTTCCTCTCCACACAGCTGGCAAACCTGTTTTGACTCCAGTCTGCTCAGAAATAGGAGGTTGTAGAGGTCGGGGAAAGGATGAGTCAAGGTTATGGGGATGGTCCAACCACAAATCACCACCTTGCTGGGTTGCTACTCTAGAGCAAGCATCAGTGCAAAGTTGGTGGGATAGTTTCCGGACTGGTCCAAGCCGCCTTCATGTCTGAGGAGGATTATCAAAATAGGGTTGTGCCCTTTCTGTCAGTCAAACAAGCCATGGGTAAGCTTGTATATTTTGAGCCAGCACCAAATTTGTCACAAAATGTAGCATCCAGAACATCTCTAATTTTATTTTCCTTTTGAAATAACATTTCTAGTTCTGAAGGGTGCACGGATAAGCTGTAAAAGGTAAGAAGGATTCCTTTAAGCAGTGGAAAGCTAGTCTCAGTGAGGTTGATAAAAGGGAACACAGGCTGTGGCAAATAAAATGTAAGTCTGTGATCAGGCAGGCAAAAAAGGAATATGAGGAGCATATAGCAAAAAATATAAAGACCAACAATAAAACTTTCTTCAAATACATTAGAAGTAGGAAACCAGCCAGGGAAGCAGTGGGGCCCTTGGATGACCAAGGGGTAAAAGGAGTACTGAAGGATGATAGGGAAATGGCTGAGAAGCTGAATGCATTTTTTGCCTCTGCCTTCACTGTGGAAGATGAGAAGTGCTTGCCCACTCCAGAACCACTGATTTCGGGAGGGGTGTAGAAAGACCTGAGTCAGATTGAGGTGAAGAGAGAGGAGGTCCTAAAACTGATAGACAATTTAAAAACTGATAAATCACCAGGCCCAGATGGCATACATCCGAGAGTTCTGAAAGAACTCAAATGTGAACTTGTGGATCTCCTGACAAAAATATGTCATCTTTCCTTAAAATCTGCCTCCCTTCCTGAGGTCTGGAAGGTAACTAACGTCACTCCTATCTCTAAAAAGGGTTCAAGAGGAGATCTGGGAAATTACAGGCCAGTCAGTCTGACGTCGATACCGGGTAAATTGGTGGAAACCATTATTAAGGAAAGAATTAGTAGGCACATAGATGAACAAAACCTATTGAGGCAGACTCAGCATGGGTTCTGTAAAGGAAGATCTTGTCTCACTAACCTATTAGTGTTCTTCGAGGGAGTGAACAAACATGTGGACAAGGGGGACCCAATAGATATTGTTTACCTTGACTTCCAGAAAGCTTTTGATAAAGTTCCTCATCAAAGGCTCCTAAGTAAGCTCAAAAATCATGGGATAAAAGGACAAGTCCTTTTATGGATCAAAAACTGGCTAATTAATAGAAAACAGAGAGTGAGTATAAATGGGCAGTTCTCCCAGTGGAGGGGTGTAAGCAGTGGGGTACCACAGGGATCAGTACTTGGTCCACTGCTTTTTAACTTGTTCATTAATGATTTGGAGTTGGGAGTAAGCAGTGAAGTGGCTAAATTTGCGGATGATACAAAGTTGTTCAGGGTGGTGAAAACCAGTGAGGATTGTGAGGCACTCCAAGGGGATCTGTCAAGGATGGGCGAGTGGGCCTCAACATGGCAAATGGGGTTCAATGTGGCCAACTGCAAGGTGATGCACATTGGAGCCAAAAATCCTAAATATAAATACACATTGATGGGGTCTGAACTGGCAGAGACTGAGCAAGAGAGAGATCTTGGAGTTGTAGTGGATAACTCACTGAAAATGTCGAGACAGTGTGTGACTGCAATAAAGAAGGCCAATGCTATGCTGGGGATTATTAGGAAGGGTATTGTAAACAGATCAGCCAATATCATAATGCCGCTATATAAATCAATGGTGCGACCTCATCTGGAATACTGTGTGCAATTCTGGTCACCACACCTTAAAAAGGATATTATAGCTTTGGAAAAAGTGCAGAAAAGGGCAACTCGAATGATAAAAGGGTTGGAACACTTTCCCTATGAGGAAAGGTTAAAGCGCTTAGGGCTCTTTAGCTTGGAGAAAAGACGACTGAGGGGTGACATGATCGAAGATGGGCCATAGGCCTGATCCAACATTGGCTTCTCTTGTGTTCTTATGTTCTTACCCTTTGAAACTGTATGTCTCGGTGAAATTTTAAAGGGAGAGCTGAAAGCTTTCTAGTGGTCAGCATGCTCATATTGTTACGGGGGGGGGGGGAATATCAACGTTCCCCATAGCATGAACACATGAAGCTGTCTTATACCGAATCAGACCATTGGCCCATCATACTCAGACTGGCAGCGTCTCTCCAGAGTGTCAGTCTGAGATATTTCACATCACCTACTGCCTGATCTTTTTAACTGGAGATGCTGGAGACTGAACCTGGGACCTGAATGCCAAGCCGATGACCTACCACTGAGCCACAGCCCCTCCCCATTTTATTATTTCCACAATGCCCCTAAAGTGTGCCACTTTACAGAGTGCAAAAACAAAGGTCTCTGCACAGAGAAGCGTACAATAAGATGCAGACGACGCAAGCGAGGGATACACAGGTGTGTGCACACGTTGCATCCCTATATAGACGCCTCTTTGCACAATTCTGTGCAGAAAATAGGTGCCAACATCTATGTAGACAGAGAAACCCTTTTGCCTGTTTGTTTCAGTGTATGAATTCCATGCTAGATTCAAAGAGAAAGGAAAGGAGCCCTTTAAGGAATCCTGGTCCCCCGGGAGCCTTCTAAAAACCGTAGTTGAAGGTAAGGGCACTGGATCTTCTGTCATTCCAGCAACTGGCTGGCTTGCTGAAGCTGGTGGCTGCTAGTGATGAACACTCCTGTACCCTTTACACATTGCAGTGTACCAGGGACTCTGTAGTTGTGCGTCTACAGGGAAGGAAAGGGAGTGAAAGCCCTACAGCCACGTGTGCATCTGTGCTCCTGTAAATGTGCATGGAGAATATTCAGCTCCAGCGCCTCAGCGATTCATTCCCAAGAAACGAGGGGCTGGGGCTTCGGCTTCTTTCGGGACAGCACCCAGAGCTGGTGGCCGGAAAAGTACTCTGTGCATCCTCAGAGACGCCCTCCTTCCTACCCTTCCAAGGGCCTCCGGGCCGAGCGCCGTGGAAGCGGGCCACCCGGACAGAGGAGCGTGGTTGCACGCTTCTTGGCCCTCCTTCGCTCTCCCCCCCCCCCCCCACCGTCTCGTGGGGAGGGGGGAAGGAAAGAACTTACACGGCTGGTGGGGGGGGGGCGCGTCCCAGGCAAAGCCCTCGGTCTCTGAGCAGCCGCCTCGTCTGAGTCCCGTCTGGGCGGCCGCCGCGCGAGGGGAGCGCCGCGCTCCGTGCCCGCCCGTCCATGTTCTGGAAGAATGAGACTCCTGCCCCTCCGCCCCAGGGCCAGCAGCCGCGGACCAAGGTGAGGCGGGGCGGGGAGCGGAGGTGCTCCCACCCGCACTGTGCAAACTCCGGCGGGTCGTCTAGAAGGGAGGGGGGCAGGAGGGTTTTTTCCCCGTGGGGGTGGACCGGGTCCCGATCCCCCAAGTCGGGTGGGTGGTCTCTTCTTCACTTTCATAG